ATTTTATTTTATTTTATTTTATTTTATTTTATTTTATTTTATTTTATTTTATTTTCAATATATGAAATTTATTGACAAATTGGTTTCCATACAACACCCAGTGCTCATCCCAAAAGGTGCCCTCCTCAATATCCATCACCCACCCTCCCCTCCCTCCCACCCCCCATCAACCCTCAGTTTGTTCTCAGTTTTTAACAGTCTCTTATGCTTTGGCTCTCTCCCATTCTAACCTCTTTTTTTTTTTCCCTTCCCCTCCCCCATGGGTTTCTGTTAAGTTTCTCAAGTCCAGTACCTTTTATGTTCCAATTAATTTAGCAAACCTGTTCAAAGAAACACTGTGCATATGTCTTCTAAGAGGCAATTAATGGGGCACCTGGGTGCTTCAGTTGGTTGAGCATCCAACTCTAGATTTCAGCTCAGGTCACAATCCCAGGGTCGTGGGACTTAGCCCCATGTCAGGCTCCACACTAGGCATGGAGCCTGCTTGGGATTCTCTCTTTGCCCCTCCCCTGCTCATGCGTTCTGTCCCTCTCATATTAAAAAAACCCACACACAACATTAAAAACAAAAAAACACAGGGACACGTAGACATTTGTGACATCCAGGGCTGATGACACCTGCAATCACAGAAGAAGGGAGAAGAAGCCATGTTACCCTCTCCATTCAAATGAACTCTGGGTGTGGAGCATGTAAATACACACTAAAACTTGCACAGCTCGAGCTAGTGAAATTATAAGGCACGTTTCAAGGGCTAAGCTACATTTTCCACTTCACAGAGAGAAGAGAAAAAAATGTCTTAAATATGGAATTTTTAGTAAGCCTCCCAGATCAAACAGTACTTTATAGCCATATATTCTACGCAAAACCCATACTTGGGTTGCTAAGTTCAAAGCTGGTCTCTCTTAAACATTTCATAAGAGTAACTACATACATATGTGACTGACTAAAAATTGTGGCAGGCACCTAGGTTTCTGGTTAACCTATTTTGGTGAAAAATATCAAAAAGTAACCTTCTAGATTTAAAAATTCTAGAAAATACTTAAATTTTAAAAAACTAATAATAAACAAAGTATTAATAAAAGTGGAGATTTTGTAAAAATTTTTGTAAAAGTTATAAAAGTTTCAGGAAATGCCCTGGTAATTCCAGATGTAGAGATCTCATGATCAGCATCAGTGTGACTAGCATGGTGTACCCCAGATTTCAACTTTATAAGACACGTATGGGAATATATTTGGAACGGAATCCTGAAATTCCCTAAAATGCAACTACTATGGAAATTCCAGAAAAAAAAAACTTAAAAATTAATATTTGGTTTGAACGTTGGTGCAACATAGAGCCTATGATATCAGTGTCCAACATGATGCGGCCGGGAGCTACTAAAACAATCCTACTGAATTTGCCCTACACACAAAAAAAGCAAACAAAAAGGCGAAGGAGAAAATGCCATGTCTGCCTGGAGTTTGCCTGGACTGAGAGCGCCATCTACAAAAATGTGATCACGCACTGAGCTTTCTGACCATTAGGTGACACTATACGATCATAAATGCAAAGGGACAGACCACAGCTACAAAGCCAACAAATGCTAAGCATTTTAAGGAGCCATCAGTCATTTTATACTTTAGTACTCATAGTATCAAGTATAATACAGAATATTCAGAAGACAACAGAAACCGGTATTTTGTGAAAAGCAAGAAGGATACAGAATACGTTATTAAGCACACAAGGATCAAATTTGACTTCTACCATCAGCAGAGATCTGTGGAGATGTTTTATGAAAAAAATGTGTAGATCAAACGTCTAATTTGATCATCCTGCAATCATCTGCTGTTTTTGCATTTAGTCCTTTATTCCTAGTAAATATGCTAATTTGGCAACCACAATGATTTGGGGGGCAGACACCAATAGGTTATTATGGGAGGGAAAGAAAATAACGAGCCCAGGATGGGGTAGAAACTGAGGTATGCAGCTTTTAGGTGTGTAGGTGTGTGACTCTAAATGACTTTCTGTTTATAGTTGTTTCCTTGTTCCTTACTTCCTATACTTCACTCCTGGTGTTTCTCCCTCCCTCCCTCTCTCCTTTCTGCCCGCCCCCCGCCCCCCCCACACACGCACACACACATCACGGGCACCAAGCCAGGGAGGTTACTGGTACCTCCCACACGCCAGCCCAGAACTCAGAAGTGAAGCAGAGTTGTCAGCACACAAGTTGGTGTCAAAGTCCCTGGGTGAGAGAACAAATTTGTGAAAAGACACAAGTAGTTTCCTTCCAAAAACTGTCCACAGCCTCTAGCCCGTCTTCTTTCCAAGACTCATTTCTTGCTTTTTGCTCGTTTCAAAACCCAAAGAAGCCAGGGCTGCATATTCTAACACCTTTCCTACTGGGCTGCTGTTCTGACCCTAAGCCACTCCCTTTTTCTTTCAAAAGGGGAAGCGCACGTGGAGGAAGAAGGATTAAGGTTTTGAGGACTAATACCACCACCTCACCATCTAGCCTGCTGCGACCATGCAGGTCTCCCAACTACAAAGTATGAATCTGGACCCATACACACGGGATGCAGAGGTTGGGATGTCTCATTAACAGGTGGCCTACTTCAAAGAAAACACTGACCGTAGGACACTGAATGGCCAAGCCACAGTGACTAAAACATACTTGGAAAAAGAGAGACTAGACTTTTTAAATGTCTACTTATTTTTCAGAAAGAGAGCGTGTGAGCAGGGGAGGGGCAGAGAGAGAGGGAGACAGAATCCGAAGCAGGCTCCCGGCTCAAAGCTGTCAGCACAGAGCCCGACATGGGCTCGAAACCACAAACCGTGAGATCATGACCTGAGCCTACTCAGACACTTAACTGACCGAGCCACCTAGGCACCCTGAGAGTTGACGTTTTTCATGCTATCTGCTTACGCAGGAAATAGGCATTTTGTTTACTATTCATGTGGACGATGCCCCTTCAAGAATTTCACTAAGCAAAACTCAATGCCTCTATGGCTCAGCCAGCCAGCCATCCATCTGCTCAACTATCTGTCGGCCAGACAAGTGCTCATTCATTTAAAAAAAGTTTATAAAATGGTTCTAGAAAAACAGGCCTAGCCCGGAGTCAAACTTTAGGCAATTTTGGTGTAAGGGATCCTCTCTGTTCATTTCTGTGATGGATTCTCTCTTGTACTAGTCTGATATGACTAGTGTGGTGTTGCTACCATCCTTCAAGACCCCAGCTGTACTTTCCACCATGAAATATCCCCACCCTTCAAAACTATCTCCCATATATTTTTACCTAGGCCAATAAGTAAGAAACAGAGAGTTTCTTGATGCCTAGAACTATACAGTAAGAATTATAAGAGTAACAGAAGTTGGGGCCCTGACCTGGAGACAATTATTGCTTCACCGGGGGAAAGAAGTCCCTCTAGGAAGTAATTGTAGAGAGAGCACATGCGTGAACACACACACACACACACACACACACACATACACACACACACACACACCGGTATGTTTATAGACCAGGAGTGAATAAATAACAATGAAAGAGATCACCCATCCATGTAGGATGCATCAAATTGCAGAAATCATGCAAATAAGTTAAGAGAACATCTGAGAAACAACTACGAGAATATTATGTCATTTTAGTATTTAAGAATAACAGCAGCAAAGACCAAGCAAAAGCATGTAAGAGATAAGAACATAACTAGACTGGACAAAGCAGAGGGGTTGAAATGGAAAAGGGGAAGGGATGACATGAGAGAAATATTTAAGTTAGGGATAGAAGTCAGGGGGAGAAGTGTAAGGAATTGACAGAACACCTCGAATGTTGGGATGAGGCATATCGATATCTACATGCTAAAATGGGTAAGAGAGTCGTAGGAATTCCCAGACATGAAGAAATGTACACTCACAGGCAGGAAATTATAAAATTCCCACCCTGCAACTGTTATAGGCGTATCTGAACCATTCTAAGAAAATAAAGGTGTAATAAGCTCTTATTTTAAAAAGATGGTTTTATCCATACCATATATTCACAGAGTTGCACTCTGTTTTTTAATCAGGATTTTTGGAAAATATTACCTTTGGACTCCAGCTCCATCTTCTTTTTCTTTGCCCATATATTATGGTAGTTTTCAGCCATCATTTCTGCCATAGCCTTAAGTGAATGAAACATTTAGAAAATAAGTTATAATTTAATGGGTAGAAAAAGACCTCACTTGCCAATAGGTAATATCAAAACATGCTTTAAATTAATAAATCATAGCATGTCCAGGCTAAACTATCTCAAGATTATCAAACACAATGATCTTACTTGGAATCTGAAACCCAGATTCAACGTGTGAAACCCAGAAACAATCTGTGAAATTGTGCGGTAGTAAAGAGCGGAGATGATTTGATGGGAATGATTATTGTTATTTGTAATGGTTTTTGTCTAGTTATTTGTAATGTCTAAAGACAAAGGTTTTATTAATTCAATAATGAAACTTCAGATTAGCTATGGACTTTAACAAAAAAAAAAATCTATTTATTTGCAGGTTCTTATTGCAATTTCCAAAGCTTTAAAAGGCAATCTAAATCTTATTAAACAATGAATGCAAAGAAGCTTAGATGGAAAGTCTAGATTCAATGCCTGCCCCACACTCAGGGAGAGATTTGGACAAGCCACATTAACCTTTTTGTGGCCGTTAGCTTTTTGGTAAGATTGCCTCTAAGATTCTCTTTTCCCTTTTGAGTTTCAAGATTACTATCTCATTCTTAAGGCATCCATACGGGAGCAAAGACAATGGGCAAGTCAAACAATTTAACATAACTGACATGACCTACTACATAGGGTTTGTCTTTATAAATTTATTTCTCGTGGAATAATACTAATAATGCCAATATCGCTGTTTGATCAGGATACTGACCTATCAATTTCTGTTCCAAGGCAACAAATTTTCGTTTGTTCCAATCAGCCATTTCAAAGTACATTCCTTAGGCACAAAGGTGAACTGATACAACTATGGATGCAGCAGGCAAAATGCTACCCATTTCCCTGGATAAATGACTTAAATTTCATATTCTTTACTGGGTAACTGAAGTTACCCTTGAGCAGAGCATTTCTAATTCCTGATTTATTCTCTTCTCACTCACAGCTATTCAATTATAGTAGGATTTTTTTAATGCACATTATCTATAAGGAAAATATGTTATCTGGAAGATGCATCCTAGAAAAAGTTGTATCAACTTTCAGAGCATTAAAAAGCTAGGGTCCATAATCTATAAATTCCATGGACCCTTTATATGATCAACATATTCAAGCAATTCATGAAGAGAAATGTATGCAGGAAAGTGTTACAATATGCTTTTTAAAAATGGAATTTTCAGAATACTTTAAAAAAGCAATACTTACGTGCAGGTCTCTGGACAGTGTGACATTGCTCATATCAATGGCTCGGGGGCTATAACCATGCGCAGCATCAACAGAAACCTAAATAATTTACGTGAAAATGATAGAGTCTAATTAAAAAACCCAGCGGAGAGAGACTTAAGACAAATTTTAGAAATACAGGACAAGTAAACTTTCAAACGTAATGTTTCCTCAGATGAAACTGGCAAGTATCTGTACGTACATACTTCACAAGCATATAAATTAAATTGTATTTGGGTATCTGATAATTTCAGTTTATGACTGAATAATACATCCCAACATTTCAGGAATTGCCCCTCCCAAAAACTAATGGTCAGAATTCAACATATTGTGCAATGGATCCAATATTCTTTTTTTTTCTTTCTGTTTGTTCATTTGTTGTAATGTTTATTTATTTTTGAGAGACAGAGTGAGAGTCAGGGAGGGGCAGAAAGAGACAGGGAGACAAAGAATCCAAAGCAGGCTCCAGGCTCTGAGCTGTCAGCACAGAGCCTGACCCATGAGCAGCAACATCATGACCAGAATTGAAGTCAAATGCTTACCCAACTGACCCTACTTATTTATCCAGGTACCCCTACTTATTTATTTGGAGAGACAGAAAACATGAGTGGAGATGGGAAGAAAGAGAGAGAATCCCAAGCAGGTTCCATGCTGGCAGCACGGAGCCCAACATGGGGCTCGATCCCACAAACTGTGAGATCTGACCTGAGCCAAAATCAAGAGTTGGAAGCTCAACCAACTGAATCACCCAGGTGCCCCTGTATCCAGGATTCTGAAACATTACCTTAGTCAAAGGCTCGCTGTATTCTTCAGTTTCTTACAGACTCTAATTGGCTACAGTGAAATTTATTCTTCCTCATGCAAACAGTAATTAATCAAAGAGGGCAATACTTATGAATGTCTCAATGGGCCAAATGTGAAGATAAAATACAACCAACTCTTCCAAAGTACACCATACAGTAGTCAAAGATTTACAAAGTTATCTCCAGTAACAATCAGACTTAATTTCTGAATTTTGGCTTTTGAAAAAACGAAACATCTTCTCATCAACCATAACATTTCATGTACTGTCTTGAGCTCTCAATACATTCCTCACAATGTATATGTTATATAACAGCGTTTAATAGAAATAAGCTATGGTTCATGCTTTAAATCTAAAGCTCTATCTTAATATATTCTAGCATGTATTTATATTACATTTCATATGTATAGTCTCCTGTTAGACACGTATAAGCCAAAAAATAAAAATAAAAATAAAAATAAAAGGCACACTATAGCTCATGTCTCTGTTTTTAGAAAAGAGAGGATAACGTTATGTTACCATTAATAACGGACTCATGGGCTATTCTCAACCTATTGGTTAGTTTTGACTGAACCCTGGCTTTTGAGCCTTCACCACTGCTCAGTACCATCTAATAATGGAATGTTTAATGAAATCACATTTTTTCCCTCTTTTAAATTAAATATTCCTAAAAGGAAATTTGAAACTTAAAGAACACTAGTGACTTACCCAAGGTCACAGAGCTAAAAATCTGAGCTGGCAGGATTCCAACTCAAGCTATCTGATGCCTTGGCCACTTCCCTCTCCCTATCACCTCTTATGGCCTCAACATATTGCAGTGTATTTCTTTCCCCACAAATCTAATATAAGTGTCCTCTCAAATGTTATCAGTTTCCAAGCTGCTACACAAGGCTTCTTTCCAGCTGCCATCAAGCCAGTCCATCTAGATTTGACACCAGGAATCATTGCTCTCCAGCCCTTCATTTCATGAACTCCAGGAAACCACCCTCCTGTCTCTGTGCTCAACTTCTCTTGACTCCATTTCCTCAGATTCCTTCTTTGGCAACTCTTCTATCCATTACCTGAAGATCTCCCACATTTGTTGGCTCATGGCCCCTTTCCTCCATCTTCAAAGCCAGCAACACTGCATCTCTTTGGCCATTTTTTGGAAGTCACATTTCCCTTACCCAAAGCCAGAGCAGTTATTCCACTCTTAAGGATTCTTGAGATTATACTGGACTCACTGATAATTCAGTATAATCTCCCCCATCTCAAGGTCTTAAGCCTTGATCACACTGGCCAAGCCCAAGTAAAGTCACATTTCCACAGATTCCAGCAACTGGGGATCATCTTTGAAAGCCGTAATTCTGCCTAACACAACATCTATATCAAATTCATTGTTCCCTCCTTGCCATTTCTGAGCAAGTAGCCATCTCTGTGCTCCCTACCTTTCCTAATATAAACACCCACCTGGCAGTCCAGCCCGGATCCATGGTGACCACCTTTGATTACTCCTCCTCCTCTGCAATCATATATCAGGCAGTCACAGAACTCTGTCTTTTCTACTTTAAAAATCCCTCCGGGATACGTCCACTTCCCTCCATCTCCACTCTCTCCATTCTAATTCAGATATTTAATATTTGTCTTGTTTTGAGGGATGTCTATAGTGTCCTCCCAAGGAATCTGTCTTTCTGCCTTCCATATCCTCCTTCTCTAATTCATTCTCCACTCTGTTGTCAGAACTGTATTTCCAAAATATTTATTTTGTTATTCTCTAAAGTCTTCCACTGTATGGGAAAAATCTGTGGGCATGGGCTGAGCCTTATTGGTCGTAATGTTCCCAGAGGCTGTGGCACAAGCCAGACTTCGCCAACACTGCAATGATAAAGTGATTCCTAATCTCACAGACATGATGGCAAACCTATGTCTTAAAACTGATAAACAAACAATATTAGACTCTCTGGAAATTGAATAAATGAATAAAATGGAGTTGGTATCAATAACTTTATTTGTTCCTAAAATAAAATTCTCAGTATTTCATATCCTCTTGGACTATGTCTAACTGTTTATCATTTTAGCGTTAGATTAAGTTACTGAGGGTGGGTTAAAGAATGTGAAGTTGATACCTGTTTGGTCAGGGACAGATTCTATTTATATTTTTCATTACCTATTTCTCTCCTTCATATACAGAGAAATCAAAAGAGCGGCCAAGGCTGCTATAATTTCAAGTTGCCCGAAACATGCACCATTTCTGAACGAGGGGCTTGAACATTAATGTAATTAACTCCAGTGGTTTCAGCAACAGTAACGGCCACCAGGTGCATGGTTATGCGCAAGGCATGCAGATTATGTCTTTTGTTCTTTAGAACAACTCTAAAAGGCAGAGGTCACTTTTCACCATTTCAAAAGAAGAGAATTTCAAAAGAATTATTTCAAAAGTCATAGAAAATGGCAGCATCAAGTTTTGAAAGTAATTCTGTCAGAGTCCAAAGAACTTCACTAATTTCTCAAAATTGCTCCCAACATTCCATGTGATTTGATTTCTGAGACACCCCCACCTTTCTCCTGGCTACCCAGCTCCAACTCACTCAGCACCAATATATACACACACTTCCTTCATCTCCCTGATATGTATCAGGCGTCACTCCCAACTTACTGCTGCTGCACTCCTTGGGACATTCTTGCCCCAACTCCGTGTAATTCCCTCACCTCTTTCAAATCTCTATTCGTCTTCTCAGTGAAATCCACTCTGACAACCGTGTATAAAACTGCAACTCATCCACAAATGTTACCCAACCCCCTCCCTCTGCACTCCCAGTCTGCCTTCCCATGCTGTTTTCTTGTTTCTGTAGTATGAATCATAGTTTTACATAGTACATAATTTCTTCATATCTGCTGCTTACTTTCCCTACAAGAATGCAATCTCCATGAGAGCACAAAGCTTTGTCTATTTTGTCCATTGATCTGCCTGAAAAGCTAAGAATAATGACTGGAACACAATAGGTGCTCAATAAAGAATCCGTTGAAGGAATGAATGAAATTTTGTTTTGTCCTAGCCTGCATTTTAGTTCTAGGGGGTCACACTTTCCAAAAGTTTCATTCCCATCTCTCTCTTCATCCCAGGTTATAAAATTATTTTTCATTTGTTTAAATAGTTTATATCCTATATTTGCAATACTGAAAAACAGATAAATAGGAACTTGCAATTTGGGGACAAGTAAGTAATTGTTAAGAACTTGTGGAATGTGCCTGAAATTGTCAGAAACGCCCTCCTTCCACGCTGTCTTTGCCAAGAGGCCTACTTAGGCCCCCTCTCTAATCAGTATCTCCTCACTTTTTCCTATCTGCACCTCTATATATTCTATATCCTATTAAGTTGTTATTGGCCATGCCCAAGCCCTTATGGTATCTTGCATATGCAAATTACAAAACCCTAATGGAGCAGTAAATTTCCTAAAATCAGGACTCATGTCTTCCTGTGGTGTTCAAAGCAAACAAAAAACATTAAAATTGTTATTGATCCACATAAAATAATAATGGTAATAATTAAGTATAATATTTATTGAAATATAGGCCAGTTACCCTTTTAAGTGACTCATGAGCCCTCAGAATAATCTTTTAAAATAGATGCTTCATTTGCTTCATTTTAAAGATGAGAAAACCGTAACACAGAGAAGTTAACCATTTGCCGAGCTCACACAGCTACCTGGTAGTAAGGCCAGGATTTCAACATAGGCAGGCTATGCCAGACCTCGCTCAGTTAAATCCAGGCTGCTTCTGCCTTGCAGAGGGAGAGCTGAGCCCCATGTGAAGGGAAGCTGAGACAATTCAGCTCCAAAATCACATCGACAAGTGACCTCTCTCAATTAACCCATTTATATTCCTTACTATAAACTGATGCTATAAAAAGCATTCCTTAATTTATCCAGAAGAGCCTATCTATTGCATAATAGAAAATATCTTTATAAGCTTTGTGGGAAACCAGCAATGGAGAGAAAAGAAAAGACATTAAAAAGCTTGGCAAGATGATACCTGAAAAAGATGATAGAACTACAAGATTAGTGATTAAGGAATAATATATTTTAACATTTCAAGTAATGTTGCTTTCTGCTTAAAGAATCTTTGAATAAAAGTAATGATAAGATTATAAATATATTGGTGGCATCGACTGGAATTTGCTCTCCATTTCTGATACTGAGAGAAATATTCTTTCTTTACTACTAATAGGTCAAAGCACTACAAATGCAAAAACACTCTTATCTACCATGAAATGCTCTCTGGCATTAAAAATATTTAAATAACAGCAGTAACAATAAGAGTTATCATTTACTAAAAAGAAAAAAAAATGGGGGTGTTAACATTTACTCAAACAGATCAAGTAACATGACTGATGGTACATTTCTAAAAAGTCTCGGTCTACCTCCAGATATTTCGTCCTTCATCTATGCACTGTGCCTCTGGCATACTGAAATCGCATAGGAGACATAACAACGCACATCATATGTCACACATGTATGACGTCCCTCTAAAACCAGTAAGACCTAAGACATGGTTCTATGAGTCTCGGTTGATAGCATCTATCGAGAGCTTAAAGTCCCCAGAGAACAATATTACGAGATAAGCAAGGAGTAAGGAAGACAGGGAATAAATACAACACATACAATTTTAAGTCAGGGGACACAGTCTTGCTATTACGGGCAGTGGGAGAATCTACCTTCTTGTTCTGGGCACAGCTTAAATCACCCCCATTAGATAGTAATTTTTTTTGGATTTCCTGTCCAATTTAGAGGGGAAAAAAGAATAATTCCACCCTCTGCACTCTGCAGCACCTGGTACACACCACGAGGCGAAAACTTCCTGTACTACGTTGAAGTAGGTCTAACCTGCCTGTCTCTGACACCACGTTGTGAGTCTTTGGCCCTTATCATCTTCATGTTCCTATCATCTACCGGAGGGTTTGTGCTCGGTATGTGCTGAAACAGATTAAAACAACATGTAACCTAGTCAGAAATGTGTGCGTACATGATAAAAAGGTAAGATATGCCTTTACGGCTTCCACCCACCCACATGATACTTACTTAAGAGAATTTCATGTACAACATGCCCAGATCAGAACTCAATCTATCTCAAATATGAAACATGGGAAACGCATGCTATGAATGCCCTTATTTTCTTTTAAAAAAAAGGCAATAATACCCATGATATGTTGTGCGAACCGAACACAGTAGCCCTAGCAGTCTGGTAAAGGGAAATGACAGGTTTGGCTCCCAGGAGAGATGAAAGGGCCACAGGTAATAGTTAGCATTTGCTCCCCACCTTGAACTCCAGGTTCTTCAGGCTGAGGCTGTGCCGCGTCTTGAGCACTGACGCCCCACAGCCAGCACATTGCTAAGTTGACTGGATTTCCTTGATGTGACCCACTAGCAAGGTGCTCTCTGAATTCTTTTTTTTTTTTTTATGTCTATTTATTTATTTTTGAGAGAGAGATAGGGTGGGAGCAGGGCAGGTGCAGAGAGAGAGGGAGATAGAGAATCCATAGCAGGTTCTGCACGGTCAGCACGGAGCCTGATGCGGGGCTTGAACTCATGAACCATGAGATCATGACAGGAGCTGAAGTAGGATGCTTAACCGACTGAGCCACGCAGGTGCCCCTCTCTGAATTCTTGCTCTGCCTGTATGGTTGCATATATTGCCTTTGAAAAGCGGACAGGTGGTCAAGCTCACTGTGTGGACCATTCGTGTGGGTTCTAGATCAGGATCACTGTCTGACGATCCCACTGTTCCCTAAGAAACCAACCTTCAGTTCTTTCTCGAAAGAAGAGAACTCTGCAGACAATCTCACTGTACGTAAGGCTTCATCAGTAAAACGTCAAGACCTCACCATTGGGCACTCCTTTAGAGACTAACCAGGAGAAGCATCACCTGATAAACTCCAGTTTTAACCAAGACTTAACTTCACTTAAAAAGAAACATGGTTTTTCCTCTTCTAAACATTCTGTTAGTCTTCGTAATTTTCCAATTATTTGTTTTGGAAAACCCACTAATTAAATAAAAGATTCAAATGATTGTGAAACAACATAAGCTGCGCATTCACCGATGTGTTCTTACCTGGCTTGTCTGAGAAATACGACGAGAACGGTTGTAGAGGGCCATGCTGTCTCCCTCCCGTGTTCTCTCAACCCTCCAACCCCACGCCAGCATGGTTTTTAAAGATTCTTTGATTGGCCAGCGATAAATTTCTTTTTCCTAGAGACAAAAAGGAAGAGGAGAAAAAAAGGGAGGTGCATGGAATCCAAATAAAAAATCTGAAATAGACTACCTTCACTTCACTTAAAAAAAAAGAAGACTGGCATTATTTATTTAGAAATGAAAAAGTAAAGTAAAAATTCTGAAAAGCACCGGGTGAGCTGAGATCTAATTTGGCTAATGCTACAAAGAGGGATTTCAGCTTATTATTTCATTGGAGGTTAGTTTTCTTTAGTTTCCCAGCTTCTGATACTCTAACTAAAAAAGGAGAAACTAAAAAAGGAGAAACAGTGCCAGATTATATGAACCATAAGTGCAGGCTTTTCTACCATCTGAATACACAGATGAGAAAAACTCTTCCTCCGTAAGCACCAAACTAAAAAAGTCCTTTTCACTTCATTTGTCAAGATATTGATTTCCCCCCCAAAGAAGTAAAATACATGAAAAATTATAAGTAATAATCATTGTAAATATTACTTCTTTATCCCTCATCAAGAAACTCCTTAGCACATAAGAATATTTTCTGAAGACCTTAAAAATATTGGGGAGGAAAAAATATCAAAAAGGAACAGAAGAATATTAAGTAGAGAAGAACCTATTAAATGCTGATAGAAATAGGAATAGAGAAAAAAAGACAAAAGATTAAAATTAAAAATTGCAACCTTTAAATAAAGGTTTTTTAAAAAGCATATGTAAATAAAGAAAACATTTTAATAAGAAATTACATAATAAAGAAAAAAATTCAAAATAAATTGAAACTGTATAACAAAAAAGAAAGAAACCTCACCTTTTCAGATAATAGTTTATATGGCTTCATTAACGGCTGAACTTTAGACGAGTCTGAATATATTTCTCCATAAATCCATCCATTTGCCAACTTAAAAAAAATAAAAATTATTTTACATGAATTTTTGAGAATGTAGGTATGTATGTGTTGAAGTGTATACTAGTAAAATAAAAATAAATCAAGATATGGGCTAAGGTTTGAATTCCACCCAGCATAAGTCAATATAAAGATTTCCATCCTAACCAATATTATTTTGAATAATTACCGAGAACAAATCTTTCTATCCAAAGATTAAACACACCCTGAACAGATCCAGGTCTATAGTTATGTCAGTAAGCACTCCCCCGCTGAGCAAACTACGGGGTGCGCAGCCCCCATGATGTTGATTCTGCAACATCTGGGGGCCCTCCATCTGAGATGTGTATGCGAAATGCTCGTTCAAGCAGGAAAACTGGAGTGTGCTGTTTTTATTGGGAAGCTTCTCTGAATAATGCTAACTGTTTGGTCCACTCCAGTATTCAATTAACTCTCAACATGTTCGTTCCACATGATTTTGCCCTTGCAGTTCTGTACGTGTCACCGTTTCCCTATCTCATTTCATATCTGCCCATGGAATCTGAGTAACTAGACTGCAATAGCTCAGGACAGCCTTCTTGTAAACTTCCTCTCCATCACCACCAGCTCGGTACCTAATAGAGTCTTTACATAAAACAGACACTTATCTCGGACTGACTCACCTAGTAAATAAATTAGTGAACAAAGAACCACACGTTCATCAAAACAAAAAGACGGTTTCTTAGGAGAAAGGGACTGATTGGCGAAGGCAAGAACTGAAATTTAATATAAAGTCTAACAGGATGATACAGAGCTGCTCCATAAACACAAACACCTCGGAACCTTTGATGTTTGATTTTCACTTCGCCAACAGTACATGCTTCTTTTAGATTCCTGCATCATCTCAGCTCAATTTCTCTGACAAATCTATTTCACATCTCTCAAGTTTAACCAGGCTCAACATAATGTGACTACACAGCCATAAGTTTCCTTTTAGAGAATTTCATGATATGTAGGACATGTGTCACTTAACTCATCAGCTTGCATTTTTCTGACAATCCAAATAAAATATGTCAACTTGCCATGCAGTTTATTTTTAGCGACCTGCAGATCTACTTAGCAGTAAGACCTATTACAGAAGACTGGAAGGTATAAACAATCACTATTTCCGATTAATAATTTCAAGATTTCTCTAATATAAAATTACTCTTGAAGCGAAAGTTTCTTTAAAAGATTTCTGACAGTCACCTTTTCTTCCTAAAGCCCCTGATGATGATTATCTCACAAACAATATGTGTTTAGAAACTCTATTTATTATTTCACTAATAGAATTTTTATTCCTAAAACTGTGCTTTTGATAAACAGATATTCTCATTCATGTTGGATTACACGTATTAATGGCAGAACCAAATACTGTATTAGCAAATCGTAATTAAATATTCTTTCTTAATCTAGATACAGCTCTCAGTTTAAGGTAGAAAATAGTCATGGTCAGAAATATTTGGGTGGTGGCCACTCATTGGGTACATTCAGTACTGAATGAGAATGTGATGCTCTGGCTTTTACCTTGTCCATTGACCATTTGTCATGAGAATGTTCAGCATATTTGTTAATGAAGTATTCCAACTTCTCAGGAATTGTAATGCTATGAGAAAAATAAAGAAAAAAAGCTTGATTTTTACAGGATTTATGGGAAATCATACCAGTAATTTACTCACAGCTTATGATTGCTTAAATCCCACTTGATGCATAACTGTTAAAAAATCATTTTAACATAGTATTGCTTTTCCCTAGTGCAGGAATAATATATAAATCAAGCCGGTAATGTTCTTATCTGCTCATCTTGTATTAATTCATAACTTATTATGTCTTCATAGAAGTTGTATATATTAAAAATTATATATAATATAATTAAAATATATTGCAAGACGAGGATAATCAATCATACAAAAAAATTTTTTTAAATCTGAATCAAGATATGGTTAGATTTAATGAGCTTAAAGACATACTTCCCTTCCATATTCATTCTTTTAAGTTATTCTCCCTTTTTGACTTAAGTCTCTTCTGCAACAACTATAGTAGGTAAAAGATCTCCTGAAATCTGACCGGTGACACTTTTTCAATGTACTAAAATTTTAAATTAATGTCATACAACTAGAGATGTGTTAGTGATTTTAAATTTTATGGTCTACATATAACATTCTACTATTAATATGGACTACAGCGAAAAGTAACTACTTATGCTCTGTGATCTTGATAACATTTATTCTCGATTCCTTTCATATTTAATTAATATTTGATCTCTTCAACAGATGATAAGTGCATGCAACTGATGACCAAGTCCAACTATGAGACTTGGGAATATCATAATAGATCAATGAACGGAAAATCAAATATATATATAATTCCATTCACTCATGCATATAACTTATTAACACAATTACCATTGATAACTGACTTCTAAATAAAACCTAGCATAGTGAGATGGTTTACTGTTCTTGTGCAACAATGTTATCAGTCAGGAATTGAACTATATGACCCAGAAATACTTAAGAAACAATATATAAAAATCACAAAGATGTAGCAATGATTGATATCACTAAGTAAACCTACTCTGGTAAGAAGGCCCCAAAGGGGTAAGCCTAGGTAAATGAATACACATGCCCGACAGCTGTTAATCAGTTAGATCTAATTAATCAACACCAAGACCACCACATGTTCTGATGTTATTTTAAAATCGTGGATTATATCACGTTAGCAAACCACAAACTTACCCATGTAGGAACTGAATATGTGATATTTTGGTTTACTTACATTGGAAGAGAAACAAAGGATCAATCACATAAGCCAAATACTGGGGGGTAGAGTCTTTTCTCACGGGACTGTCATCAAATACCAAACATGCAAATTTAAGGCATTATCAAACTAATGGCATACCACTTGGGTTGAATTTTTTATCTGTTATGGAAGCTAAACCAGCTGGGGGGCCACCCAGAAGCCTGAAAGTTGAACTCCCAAGCAAATTCGGATGCCGTGGATGAGAACTACCACTGACTGCCTTGCTAACACCATAATCTTGCGGAGTCACCAAGGAATCGATAAGATAATGTGGCATGAAGAGTCAGCTTTCCTCGCAAATGGGAAACCATGGTCCTACTCAAAGACAGTAACAACAAAAATGCTGAGACTCCAAACATCTGAAGTACTGAGACATCCCATTTGTAAAAACAATTTACGCAACTAAGTATGGGTAAGCAGTTTTATGTGACGGAACATTTGATCTGTGGTTAAGGCTGTCACATTGCATTCTAACAGCATGCTACATTTTCCACAAATATTCTCATTTGATATTCCCTGGAATCTCATGCTGTGCTTTAAGATGCTGAACACCAGGTGCTACCCCTTAGACGTTGCTGACATGTAGCGGTGACTCTCTGCTTCTGACAGAACAGCTCTGCCCTGCCGGGATCACCCCCAGTCAAAGATGCGCTACAGAGGCTGGCTGCAATTAATAAACACTTGGGGTAAATTTTCAGCTACAAATATAGCTGATATCCTTTCTTGATTCTCATTACCGTAGATACTATCATGTGGTCACACACACAGAATCCGGGTTATGTGACGTAGCCTAGAAGGTACATCGTTATCTACTTCTGACATTATTATTATATCTACTTCTGACATCATTATTATCACCACTGTTCATTCTGTCAAGTAAAGGGACCCCTACCAAAAGGATACCAATTCAAAGGGGGCATGGATTAGAGAAAGTTCACATTAGTACCTTATTCAATTTCAGACTTCACACATCATTTACAATAAAAATCTGCTGCAATAGAAAGAGTCCATACTTTGAGGTATCAACAGGTTGTGGGTTAAAGTTCCCTTCAGAATCCATTGATGACTGTTTTTCCATCATACTGACATAATTTGACTCCATGTAGTCTGGAGGCAAAGCTCCCGCAACGGCACTCAGGCAAGGCAGTGCCAGTTTGAAAAGTTCTTGTTCATATTTCTGGGAAGAAATGGAGGACCAAAACAAAACACCAAAAGCCTGGGTTACTGTTGAGCAAAAGTTGTCAGAATGATCGCTGTGGCTGGCACAGCGCTGTCAGAAAAGATCGGAATTACCCCCAGGCTAACGTAACTCCCTCGCAGACTCTTTCTCTAGCAAATGGAAAGTATATGTAGCCTGAAATCCCATCAAACATGAGGAGTTACTGAGTTGCTGCTTAAGAAGAATAAAAACTCTGCTTCTCTAAGAGGTTTTCTCCAATATTTGAAATGAAATATACTTGGATATTCTGAATGTATAGCATGTCTTTACAACTGAAACATAAATTCAGTAGATGAAAAGCATAACTATAGAATACCGCCATACCATATTATAAAGGCTATACTTGAAAAATAAAGGAACATTCCAGAGAGTAAGAAATTTTAACTGATCTGTACCATATACAAAGGTATGAAAAATAAAATTCTAAACCGAGAAAGAAATTCTATAGGGAATATGTAGAGTCAAAATTTCTGGGAAGAGGTATTTGTATATTAATCACATAACTAATTAAATTTGTATTTATGAATTTTTAATTTTTTAAAGTTTATTATTATTATTTTGAGAGAGAGAGTGTGAGCAGGGGAGGTGCAGAGGATCTGAAGCGGGCTCTACGCTGACAGCAGAGAGCTCCATGTGGGGCTCGAACTCGCAAACTGTGAGATCATGACCTGAGCTGAAGTTGGACGCTCAACTGACTGAGTCACCCAGGCACCCCAGTATTTATAGATGTTTCAAAAAGTAGAAAATAATAATTATTTAAAAATTATCTCACTTCAAGTGTTGAATTTTAAATTAATGCTGTAAGTTCCTCTAAAAATACCTTCAACATTTATAATTCAGTAACAGAAAGCATCAAGATGTAGCTTCCAACTGTAATCACAGATGAACTTGACTCTATTATGTAGCAAACTTCTGGATATCCTGCTCTGGTTGTCTAATAATGTCCACCTGGGAATTCAAGCTGATTTCGATTAATAACTTTAGCAGAAGCATACAAAGCATGCTGTTCTGATTTTTCTCTGAAATACTATCCCCTTCCAGCCTTCTGAAAATATCTGAACTATCCGTTATAAATACGCCAGGTGTTAGGGAATGTCACATATAGAAAGCAACACTGAATGGAGTGACTTTAATCTCCATGGCAGCAAAGTGGGAAAAGTCAGGAAGGCCACTGGAATATTATAATTTTATGAGGCTGCATATTTTTATATGTGATAAGATTTTGTCAGGTTTTAAGATCAGGGTGACTAGGGAGGGTTTGAGTCCAGGTAAGTCCAAATGCGCCAAAACTTGGAGCGCCTGGGTGGCTCAGTCGGTTAAGTGGCCAATTCTTGATTTCAGCTCAGGTCATGATCTCACGGTCTGTGAGTCTGAGTTCCGCATAAGGCTCTCGGGTCTCAGTACAGAGCCCACTTTGGACCCTCTGTCTCCCTCTCTCTCTGCCCCTCCCGTGCTTGTGCGCGCTCTCTCTCTCTCTCTCTCTCTCAAAAATAAACATTTTTTTTTAAATGCACCAAAACTCAACCATGTTCATAATTTCCTAAAATGCTTAGCCATTTTAAATTCTGATGGTGTTATGGTCACAAGGGCCATGCTACCTTAATAATTATGAAAGCTCGGTATCAATTACATTCTCAAAATTTGTATGTTAGAAAAATGAAAAAAAACCTACACAAGTCTTAATAAGTAAAGATGATATTCTACTAGGAATATTTACAACTTTTAAATTATTTTGTCACACAAAGCCCACAAAATATTGAATCACCTTTTGAGACAGGGCGTCAAAAATGCCCCAAAACAACTTTCTTGATAAATGAAGTTCTTCTTCTGAGGCAGCTCCGAAGTTCCCCCACCCTCCAGGCAGGCAGTAATATTTCCAGCATCTTTCATAATGATTTGTCAGCAACTATGTGAGGAAACAATTAATTACAAAAGTGATGACTTAAAGGTACCATTTGGATTTTTCCCATTTCCACCCATGTGACTTGACCCAAAGGCCAAGTAATAAGGTCAAAACTGCTCAATCTCCTATGAATTCTTCTGGAGAATACTATACTATGCCTCTTTAAAATCTAACACTAATCACAGTATGAGGACCAAATACCCAGGTTTGCGAACAAACCATCTAGAACAGTAGTCTTTATGAGAGTGTTTGGTTACTAATGTATCCTTGAGTCCTATATATTAGATGGTATCATTTACTCACAGTTTCATGAATCACCATCCCCTGGATGTGCACATCTACACTTAGTGACAGGATTGACCTCAGGGTAACCCAGAGGCACAAGTAAATATCTCTAGGATACAGCACCAGAAATGTACATTCTAAGGGAAATCTACCTCTCAATATTTTTGCTTCCTTTTGCCAATCCTTAATCACCACACTTCAGGCTTTGCTTCAAGCTTGAACATCCCAAACTACTCCATTTCAGTAATCTCCTTATCTATATTTCTCTGGTGGTTATGGATGTGACGTATTATCTTTCCGAGTATCTATGTTGCTCCTTACATTTTCATCTATGCATATTTTGTTTGTTTAGGACTAAACTGAATTTAAAGACAAGGATAGAATCTTCAAATTATTTGGTAGCTCTTTGGACAGTTCATTTTTGATATATAAACTAACAAATATTCACAACTACTTGCTGAATTAATGAAATGATCTTTATGAATCAACAATAAGTTTTTGGACTCTTTTCTGTAACTGAGAAGGGAAACAGATTGATAAGGATTATTGTTATTAAAACAAACTACATGTTGGGGCACCTGGGTGGCTCAGTTGGTTGAGCGGCCAACTCTTAATTTCGGCTCAGGTCATGATCCTAGGGTCATGGGATTGAGCCCTGCAGTGGGCTCGATGCTGGGTATGGAGCGTCCTTAAGATTCTCTGTGTCTCCCTCTGCCCCTCTCCTGCATGTGCTCTCTCTTTCTAAAAAAAAAAACAAACTTAAGGGGTGCCTGGGTGGCTCAGTCGGTTAAGAGTCCAACTTTGGTTCAGGTCATGATCTCATGGCCTGTGAGGTCAAGCCCTGCATCGGGCTCTGGGCTGACAGCTAGGAGCCTGGAGCCTACTTTGGATTCTGTGTCTTCCTCTCTCTCTGCCCCTCCCTGCTTGTGCTCTATCTCTCAAAAATAAATAAACATTTAAAAATATTTTTTAAAAATAAAAAAACTTAAACAAAAAATGACATCTCTTACTACAGAGATACTTCTATTATGGTCTCCCCTTCAATTACAAAATATACACACATACAATTTAGAAATCTCAAATGATGAAATATTGAGATCTAATGTGTTTGGATTAACTTAGAAATATCTATAAGGTAAAAGAGTTTATCACATAAAGTAATACTGTCTCTTTTTTCAGGTACCTTCCAGCTCATTTATATCAAGAAAATTTTGCATGGCAAAGGGTCTCTAGATGATAAAAAATGTAAAAATGGGATTGGGGGCAAGGATACAATTTATTTTACATAATTAATTAATTTATATAAATTTATTAAACCAAAATCAATTTTTCATGGAGAAAGATTGTATTTGCTAAATATCTAGGGATGGTCAGAGTAACAGCAGTTCAAAAATAGACGTATTAATATCTCAAACTTCTTTTTCCACCACTGTTACTGGGTGGCCACAAGGAAAAACGATGCTTACCAGATGACAGTGCAGAGTGGTTCCCTATAAAACAGTCCATTACGTGACTATGACCTCCACCCATAGACCATGCTATTAGACGTACTAGGACACATCGAATATTCTAATGCTAAGTCTTGACTGAAATACTAGATGACAGAAAAACATTCCCAGGTCAGTAAGACACTATGAGACTAGATCATTCATGAACAGAATAATGAAGCTGGGCAGAGAAAGTGTCAGTGATTTTTCCATACTTGGTGACAAACTCTATATACAGAAGTTGTCTTTGAACTCCATGAAATTACACTTGGAAACTGTCATGAAATTACCAACTTAGAAAATGTTTCAAAAGCCTGCTCTTTATCCCTTGAGGTTGCTAAGATTTTAGGCCATATCTACCACCATGTTTTCCAGACTTAACGATACCTTAGTGCATTGTTTCCTTGTTGCCCATCTTTTTTCCCAGTGATTTCTATTTCCATTCACCTAAAGGAAATCAATCTTGAAAATTCTATGATCTTTTATTACTTATTTTATTGTGATATACACATTTCTCAAATTTATATGTCCCTTTTCAAAAATTGGAAGAAAATTTCCTCGTCAAAAATCAAACATGGCGTTTCTAAGAGCTGTACATATTGTAAGAGGAGCAAAGTCAGAGGACTCAGTAATCAACTAACTACAAACATTTCCTATCCTTACCTTAAGAGGCATCTTCGCATGTTCATTTAATAATGGGACATCAAACACTAATCTTCGGAGCAAGTGCTGCATCATAGAAGGTCTCAATTGGCTGGTGGAACAAAGTTCATTTCAATAATGAAGGGAAATGTGTCTAAACGAAGTAAATAGTTCATTAGACTAAATTATATATGCCAAGAACCTCTCTTCAGATGGTGGTTAATTAGGTGCCCCAATCCAAAGATCAACAAAAGGCTACACAACTATATAAAAGGTTACATCCCAACTCATCTCTACTCCCTAGAGCTGAAGAGCATTCCTTAGAGATGGCCCTCTTTTCTCCTCCTTCACTTTCCCACCATTCACAGTGGCAGACCCTAATGCTTCCTGAGACCCTTCCTCCAGAAATACTTCTTTCTCCACTCTACTGGGTGGGAATGGTCTTCAGTGACTGAATTAGAAGCAAAAAGAAGTATCTGAACAGGAGGGAGAAAAAAAAGGCTGAGACAAATTTTGCCAGAGGTGGAAGGGAACAAAAATCAACATACAGTGAACATCTACTATGTGGGGTCATCCTGAATGTTTCACCTTGTTTAATATTTAGATAAACTCTATGAGGTAGGTATTTTGATTTCATTTTTACAGAATTTGAGGGTCAGGGGAGCTACAGAGAGAACCTCCTAATTTTTCACCTCCTTCAGTCCCATCTGGCTTCTAAGCCATACATACACTTTACTGTGAGTGCAAACTTTTCTTCATCAGTGGACTGCTGAGCCACGTGCTTTCACCCGCTCTTGAAATCAGAAAGGAGCCATCACCCCAGCTAGGGGGCTTGAGAAATTGTCATGTTAGCTGTCAGAACTCCAACAGGAGAAGGTATGCTCTGGTTTTCACAGTAAGACATTTGAACACTTCCATTTACAGGAAGTGGTTTTCTAGGCTGGAGGAAATAAAGTCAGCCTTCATGATTGCCACACATAAGTAATGCTTTAATATTATACTATATCATTTTTTATATATTTAAGAAGTCCTTTTTTTCTTTTCTCTTCTGGAAAAGGAGTTAAAATCATCACACATAGTCAAAAGGGGAGAATCTATTAATCTTACACTACGGCGGCCAGAGACTCCTCACACAGTCACCCTACCCACCAACATCCAGAATAGTAAAATCGATCCAGCATTATATCCAATGGCCAGATACCCTAGAGAGGCTTGGAGGAACACTCCAGAACTTGACGAGGAGCATGGGTGCTCTGATAAGACTCAGACCTTGGGTAGAGGGGACTACCTAAAGTGAATTAATTTTTTGATACAGAAATTGTTTCCAAAATTCATAACTATTTGTCAAGGGCCATATAGTAAATGCTCTTCCTTAAAGGAGAAGAAACTGGATTCGGAGTTGGCTTCCCACTTACCCACAAATAGAGAGCAAACAAACTTCTATGGAATCCCGCTGAGCTTTGGTAAGTGAGCAGCCCTTCGAAAGTCTGTACACAGTGTGCAGTAGCGAGTCAATGAGAGAAGCGTGGTGTTCTGTGCCCGCGAAAAGAGGGGCACATCTTGTTAATAAAGGCAACACGGCTGTGCAAAGGTACCGATTGAGGGCCAGGGCCATGTCTGTGGCACTCAAAGCAGCCTAAAAAGAAATCGCGAGAGTAGAAAGTCATTTGTGTTTGGCAGTAGACAACTCTCAAAGGGATGAACATGTTGACATGTAATTTCATTATCTAGAAAATGACAAATATACAGTGAAACCTGGGTTTGTGAGCATAATTCATTCTGGAAACATGCTTGTAATCTAAACCACTCATATATCAAACCAAATTTCAAGACCCATTGGCTCAGTTGGGATCCTGTGACGTCTGGCGTCATGTGTGACTCGTATTAGAAGACATCGCTCACTGATCAAGTTAAAACTCATTAGAAATGTTTGCTCATCTTGCAGAACACTCATAGAACAAGTTACTTGCAATCCAAGGTGTTCCAGTATATGAAAAGTGAAGATGTATTCTTCAGTTATACCTTTAAATGTGGTCCATGTGATTTTTTTTTTTTTTACCACTAGTAACAATCAACTTTCGATTGCTCACAAATAGATAAAAATGAAGTGATGTCAATAGTGATCTCTACCTCCTCAAGAAGCCCAAGAGGCTCACATTCTATAATAAAATATCAATGGTAAGATGAGTGTGAGTTGAAGACACTAATGATATCCAAGAATGTGAGTACTTTACTAGGGGAGGAAAAAGAGAAAGAAGCTTATTCCCATAACAAATCTCATGTTCAAAAATTCTTCCATAATTCTACTTAATAACGTTTACAGTTTTGCTCCCGTCTGTCGGAATCGACAGTCAAAGGTTCATTGTCTTCTTGTGTTCTCGACTATCCTATTAGGTTCAGAATTACATGTGAACACCCCCAACAAAGAAAAAAGAAAATTCAGTGTATTTTTAGGAGTCTCCTCTCAAGACTTTCATGAAAAAGCTGTTACCACCTCAAGATCTGGTTTTCTCTGGAATCAAAAAGACCCACTTAATTGAGAAAAGGAGGCATTATAACTATCGAAATGACATTTAGAGCTTCAGCTTACTCTACAGTGCTTCAAACAGGAGAGTATTTACACCAGGAATGACAGATTCTCAGTGCAGGCCACAGGAGGCACGGGGAACATTACAGCCTTATCTATGCTTTAAATATTATAATGATGATATTATATTATAATGATGATATTATATTGTAATGATGATATTATATTATAATGATGATATTATGATATTATGTTATAATGATATTATATTGCAATGATGATATTATAATGATGATATTATATTACAATGATGATACTATATTGTAATGATGATATTATGTTATAATGATGATATTATATTATAATATAGTATCCTTATAAGTATTATAAGGATGATACTGTTATTGGCACAACTCAACAGTGTCCATTAAGTATTCTTAATACTGTAACTGCTTTCATCGAGAAGCATGATTGTTTCAGCCAACCTTCCAAATTAGGGTTATATGAACTTACTATCTTCCGTGGTCCCTGATCAGAATTCTTATCTTAATCCTGAGGTTGTAAGTGCTCTCCACTGTTCAATGAATTCCTTAGGATACAGTCTATTTTATTTTATGTTTACCCACTGCCTGCCTAAAAATATAATTGGTACTCAATAGACATTTGGTGACAATACATAAACGAATGAATACATCTATGGAGAACAGGCCAGAGGAGGACATGTCAGGAATTGAGAATGTTCATCGTTACAATCATTACCGTATCTAAAGAAGCAGCAGCCCGGAGATCAGGCAGAAAGCCAACCTCGAGAAGATGGAGGAGGAAATCTTGAACCTCAATGCCATAGACCCTGTCAAGGAACAAAACCATGGCTGCCTTGTGATCTGGGCAAAACCCCGCAGACATGTCAGGCTCCACCACATTCCCATCTAAAAGAGAGAAGGTAACATGTTGTTGTTAATGGACAGATTACAAATGGCTTCTCTCCGGCCTTCTCACATTCAAGTAAAATCATCAGTTGAATGTTTTTTTTGTCCTTCTACCCACAGGCAAGTGCTAGGAACTGGCCTAAGGATTACCACAGGGCAATGCAAATTCAAGGTCATTCGAAATGTGATTTGGGCATATCCATTTGTTAGCTGCGTATTTGATTCAATACACAGCATTATGCTAGACAATGCGAAAGAAACAAAAAGGCATCCCAAATCTACATTGTGAAAACTAGTAAATACCATAAGAAGTTAAAGTGCAAAGTTTTCACTGTTTTCAAAAAATCAGCGTTTTCAAAAACACTAATAACACTCATGCATCCCTGAGAGCCTCTTTTAAACACTAATAACACTCATGCATCCCTATGTGATAATCATGGTTCATTTACATACTTATGGCTTGGACAAAATGATGCAACTCTATGAATCAGTTGGACTGTCAAATGAAATACGTTTCATGAGTCATAATAGCATTTAACAACACTTAAGACATATTTGAGAATCAGATTATTTTCTCTATTAATAGTCACTATTTGATGCCTGTATAGATCAGGGAATCTCATTAGAATTCCATAGATCCACACATTGGGAATCACAGAGATATGGAATTAGGGGATTATGTGCCAATTTAAAAAACTGGAGGACAGATCTGTTTCCTGTTTGGCCATGTGGTAATTATGCCAAATAACATCCTGCTACTGATAATACACTATGAGAATCTACAAAGACTATCACAGAATCATTAATATTGATACAATGTTGAAAAAAGAAGGATCCAGGGAAGAGGTTACATGACCACAATCATCCTGAAAAAATAAAGTCACAACTTGTTTGTTTTCATTCGTAATTAATGAATGGATTTCATATCTGAATAGTGACAATAAACAAGTAACAATGTTTTCAGGGACATTATATTAAAGGCTAATACCAAATAGCTTCCATTCCTTATTAAATGATAATAATACCCATATACCCACTACTTTCCTTCCTATCATTAAAATAATGGGAATAACAGCTTGTTTGTGGTGTTAGGCGCTATGCCAGGAAAGTTACAGACACCATTCGATAACAATTTTCACAAGCACACTGTGAGGCTGGTAGTCTTAGCTACATTTAACAGATGACCACTGACCTTTAAGGAAGTTAAATAACTTGCTCAGGGTTGTACACCTAGTAACTGGCAAAGTTAGATTTAAACCAAGGAAAATCAGCTTTCAAATCCAACCAAAACTGATTTAATCCTTAATGTTAAATCAGTATGTTATATTTTTTAATTAAAAATCCGTATGAAATTCCAGTCCAGTTTAATTCTCCTAAAAATTGCATGATAGGGAATTCAAATTTATAAGATTCTATGATTTTTTTAAAAATTTCTTTTAATGTTTATTTATTTTTGAGAGACAGACAGAACATGTGCAGGGGAGGGTCAGAGAGAGAGAGGGAGACACAGAATCCGAAGCAGGCTCCAGGCTCTGAGCTGTCAGCACAGAGCCTGACACGGGGCTCAAACTCACGAACTGTGAGATCATGACCTGAGCTGAAGTCAGATGCTTAACCAATGGAGCCACCCAGGTGCCCTAAGATTCTAAGATTTTAATATACAGTCATGACTAATGAAATGTTAAGCAACCTGCTGATCCTAAAATAAGATCTGTGTTTTAAACACTCAACCAAGTAGACATTCATGTTAAGGAATGTTACAGCTACACATACCTGGGATTCAAGACTTATCGAGTTGCTACAGTTGCTGTTTCACTTTTACCATCTCCTCAAACACAGTGGAGACAATAAAGCTGACAGACTGCCTCCTGTCAAATTTCTGGCTTTTGAACTAGAAGAAGGAAAGCCATGTATACTGGCCTAACCTTGTGGTCCCTGCAATATTCATCTGCCTACAATTACAATTACTGCCTTAGATAGTCTGTCCAAATCTGCTGGGGCCAAGTGCTGCAGGGACTGAACATGAACTTTTTAAAATTTATTTATTTATTTTGAGGCGGGGGGGAGAGCGCACCAGGAAGGGGCAGAAAGACAGAGAGAGAGAGAGAGAGAGAGAGAGAGAGAGAGAGAGAGAGAGAATCCCAAGCAGGCTCCATGCTGTCAGCACAGAGCCTGATGTGGGGCTCGATCTCACAAACCATGAATATCAACTTTTGAGACTGAGTGTCCCTCAAGTTTTCTGAAACCCTCCCTCTTTCATTATTATTCTGGGCCATGCCGTAGTTCTAAAAGATATATGATAAAAAATTTCTGAGAAAGGCCTCAGCCATCACTAAGGGAGGAAGAACTAATTGTTAGAGGAAAACTTCACATCCTAAATATATAACATACAGTAACAATTATTGTTGATAATGGGTGATGCTTAAATGGGCAACTGACTTGTCATGGAAACATACAGAAAAGTACAGCTAAAAGTTTAGCTTTTAAGGTTGACTTAAATGCATACCACTCAAAATAAAAACATACAGTTTTCTGTATATATTTTCCATGAAAGGAAAGTGATAATAAAAAAGTAGAAATTTAATAATAACCAATGGATTGGGTTTTAAAAATTAACTTTCATCATGATTGTGAGAGTTCACAAAAAAATCCTTTAAACCCCAAGGTAGACAAAATAGTGCGTATTTATAAAGGAAAACACCACCAAATATCATTACAGCACAACTAAATAGAACAGGAAAGAAACCACCTTGAAAAATCTTGAAGGCTAATGGCAGATAACTGGAGCAAAATGATAGATACTTTGGGGGAATTCTGAATGAGACATCTGGATATTCTTAGGGGTTATGTTCTTGGTTTTTCATGATAACTGATTTTATCTAAAAATGTAGCACTTCTCTCTTTCCTAATCTGGGTAACACTGGCATTATTATCTTTCTTCTGACAGCACCAATTTTATGGCTCAAAATATAGGGAAAAGAAAGGACAATGTACTTAAGTAAATGAATATGAGTTAGAAAGAGAAGTGGAAAGAAGGCAGGTGAGAACAGTCTGTATGTATACAAAAAAAAAAAGAAGTTGCCTCAAGTGGAGAAGATGAAAAGCCACAGACAATTATTCAGTTCATGCTTTCTCGAAAATCACAATGAATATTCAACTCTTATGGCTGGAAGATCTGGGTTTATAAGCTGGGCACATATGAAACTACTTTCTCTTCATCAGAAGGCTGGCTAGGAGGGTAAGTCATGTTCAGTTACACAGTGGTCCCTTCATTCTAGACTACACTTCCTTCTAAAATTAGAAGTTTATGTAAAAATGACATATGTAAGAATATCCAATAAAAAATTGAAAACTGAACAAAATTGAAACTGGAAAAAGGAAACCTAAGTATAATTTGGAATCTAATTTGTCCCTTAGTGGTCTTGAATAACTTTTTAAAAAATTATTTATTTTGAGAGAGAGAGAGAGAGAGAGAGAACGAGAATGAGCAGGGGAGGGGCAGAGAGATAGTAAGACAGAGAATCCCAAGCAGGCTCTGTGCTGTCGGCAGAGAGCCCAATGTGGGGCTTGAACTCACGAACAGTGAGATCACGACCTGTGATGAAATCAAGAGTTGGATGCTTAAACAACTGAGCCACCCAAGAGCTCCAAATCTTCAATAACTCTTAAATCTTTTTCTCCATGGTAGGCAGAGTGAACCACCAACAGGGAACTGGCCTCGGGCCGACACCATGTGCTATTTCTGCTGTGGTTTGGGGGCACTGCAGGGGATTGGTGTGTGTGTAAACCACTCAAACTGTGAGGCATCTGTGCTTCATCCAGCAATGCCTGAGCCCTCCCTCTTCCCCAACCCAATCTGGCCCCAGGGGAGGGGCCACAGCTGTTGGACAAAGGTTTATGTACAGAGTAGGTTATACCTTTATTTTCCATGCTTTTGGGTTAATATTAAAAACTAATCACAAGCAGTTGCTAAACCAAAATGACATACTGTAGAACGGCAATAAACATTTCATCAAAATGGTAAAAAAAATTCTTTTTTAATTCTCTCCTTTGTCTTGAGAAGAGCACTTCTTTCAACACACTGGGAATTTATAAATGTCTAAGTAATAAGCTATGGTCATTTCTGGGGAAAAAAAAATATTATAAGGAAATGACAATGAAAACTATCCAAAAGAGTGAAGAAAGGAATTGCAGGCAAGAAAGACAGAGAAGAATGAGGGCCAAAAAAACCAAAAAAAAAACCCCAAAAAAACAAAACAAAAAAAAAACAAAAAAAAAGTGGAAAGAAATTAGATGAGGTACATATTTGCTCTTCTCTGGAAACTGTCTGAAATGTCATATACAAAAATCTCATGGAAAACAGCCGTTTAAAAACAATGAGGCTGGAAAATACAAAATAGTAATATCTTTTTCATTTATATACGTGTGTTTGTAAATGTCTGTGTAGAAGAATATGGCAATAGAGCTTTTCTTAATTCAATGAAAAAGATGTACTTTATAGCTTTTTCCTTTTTAACTTTTTAAATGTTTATTTATTAATTTTGACAGGGAGAGAGAGCGGGGAAGAGGCAGAGAGAGAGAGAAGGAGAGAGAGAATCCCAAGCAGGTTCCGTGCTGCCAGCGCAGAACCCGATGCAGGGCTCTATCCCATAAACCGTGAGATCATGACCTCAGCCGAAATCAAGAGTCAGATGCCGAACCCACTAAACCAATCAGGTGCCCCAAGTTTTTTTACTTTTCTTGAAGAAATGTAAACCCAGTAACTATGCTGCATGGCAGTGGGGACTGGGGGCAAGGTGTTGGAGGGAATGTCGAGTGCTGATGGTGGCATTTAAAACATCATGTCCTCCAATGCCCCACTGAATTACAAAGAAGCTGGCCTTACCTTTGGCTATTGTTGGCATCTGAAAAGCAATGCTGATTACTCCCACCAAATCTCCCAGTGGAATTAGGGATCTCAGAATTGACCGGATTCTGATGGCTTCCCCCTTACCAGCATGAATCAACTACATGAAGGGAAACGAAGGAACGTTAGAACAACTTCGTGAAATCAGTGTTACAATTCCATCCAGAAAATTTGAAGAATGGGTCTCCCCATCTAAAATAATTTTCTGCTAATTAATTACACGTATAAACTTAGACCTCTCACAGAATTTGTTATTTTAGGCTTAGAGACAGATATTTACTCGTCCACACAGTAGTGCTGACATCAGCATACGCCAAATCATGTACTACAGCATAGGCCCACTGGTTTAACCATCAAAACAGTAGTTTTTATCCTCTGCAGGGTACTAAAATACATTGAAAATCTGATAAGGCTACGAAGGCTTACCTCGCAAAATTATATATAAATACCTATCATAACGTGAACAATAAATACAATGAAATAATTATCTTCGGACCCAGAACACATAGTAATATTTATGATTGATTTAGCCTCTTTCTTGATTTGGGATGAAAATGTAATTGTATCCTTATCCATATTCCATACTGATTTCTCCCAAGGAAGGGTTTAGGATGTAGTGGGGAAAACGTGAATATGAATCATAACAGGTTTTTGAGGCTGTCACTGGCTAATGGACGACCTGTAAAGACTGGATGCGATATGTCAAGAACCTCAGCAAGGCTCTGGAACAGACCACGGGCTTTCGGAGTGGGGGATGGGGGGGCACCTGTTGCCTTCCCCACAAGGTGAGAAACACAAGTACAATCTCTGTCACATAGGAGGTCTTCAACCAATGGATACAGAAGATGAATAAATTTCAGAAGTGCCGACTTTAGCGCCTTACTGAGTCACTTGGTTTCTTTCCTCCTAGTTTAATAGAGCACAAAATTTCCATTTAGTGGCATAATTTCCTGGTTCCTTTGATCTTTCATGTCAACTGAGAAAAGAACAGATACTGGGAGCATGACGTTTTTTGTATGCAATCACCTCCAGCATACAAACAGGCTCCAAGTCCTTCTAACATTCTGACATTTCTCCACACTGGGATTCCTCTCTGTTCACAACGAAAAGTTATGTCAAGAAAACATGAAAGTTTTTTTTTTTTTCTTTTAAAGCCTTTCTCTGATTTTATTTTTCTTAATGTTTATTTTCTAGAGAGACCGAGTGTGAGGGTGGGGGTTACAGGCAGAGAGAGAGGGAGACACAGGATCCGAAGCAGACTCCAGGCTCTGAGCTCTCAGTAGAGAGCCAGATGCAGGACTTGAACTCAGGAACCGCAAGATCATGACCTGAGCCAAAGTTGGACGCTTAAATGACTGAGCCACCGAGGTGCCCCAAGAAAACACGAAGGTTTTAACTTACAGCCATGAGAGAAGGAGACCAAAACAAAAAACGAAAAAACAAAAAAACAAAAAGAAAGAAAAAAGATGTAGAGAAAAATAAAACACAACACGAAAACAAACGGACAAAACCCCCACAGATCCTAAGCATACGTAGAAAGATGTGATCTGTAAGCAACAGTCCCATGGGCTTTTCAGTTTAGACGCGTATCTGCCATATGCCCCAGCACTGTTCACTGTGTTTCGATCTCTGTGGTCTTTCCCATTCCCAGGCCATGAAGCTAATTTTATGAGCCTTTAAAAGCTAGCACTTTTAAAATGAATACGACAGAGTAAAACAAAGCCGGTTAGGGTAAAATAAAGTACAAAACATCTGAATGTATTACGGAGTAAAAGTAAGTACCATTCCAGGAGACTTCTAATTTCTTCTCCGTCAGAACATTTTAGAAAACACCAATCCATAGAGCCTGAATAGCTGTTTCCATCTCTGTAACCACCCGCACCCCCACTTTCCCCTAAACCAGTGACGGGCATATGGCAGCTCCCTCAGAGACGAGATACTGCGCACCAAGAAAATGACTCTTGTCGGGAGCTGTTGCTCTCTCTCTCTCTGCATGCACTAAATTAGCAGAGGAAATTTATAGGAAAAATGTATTCTTTTCTTCTTAAAGTACAGGGAGGCTGAATGCGTTTGAGAGATATAGATGTAACTGGCTATTCCACTAATGACTTGTACTGAAATCTCATTACTAATTTTACAACCAAGGCATTTCCAACTAAATAAACACTTGTTCAGCAATTAGGCGGCTGCTATTATTTTTAACGGAGCGTGGAGATTATTGGTTTTGGATGCCGTTATGAGGTTTGCCGGCTATGGATTGTTTTCTGTTTTTATTTATTTATTTTGGGAGAGACAGAGACAAGCGTGAGCGGGGAAGGGAGAGAGAGAGAATCCCAAGCAGGCTCCCTGCTTCCAGCACAGAGCCCAACGCAGGGCTCGAAATCATGAACCGTGAGATCATGACCTGAGGCAAAACCAAGAGTCGGACACTTGACCGACTGAGCCACCCAGGTGGCCCTGGGGATTCTTCACATAGACGTATAAGCTAGGATCGCTGTTCTTGGGCCCCAAAGCACTTACATGCATTTCAGGAGCACAGCGTCCTAAGAGGTCAATCAAAGCTGCATAAAACGTCATGATGGCATTCCCCATGTGGATAGTGTCATCCTCCTCCTCTTCTGTCTCACTTTTGTAGATTGTTCAAAAGAAACAGAAAGCAAAGGAAACATGATGATAAAATGACACTTCACGTTTATTACATACTTCTTGGACAAAAGGGATCCCCAAGGTAATTCATTCTGCCTCTTCTGCTACTTTTCATGTATGTGATTAATTTGTAGCTTGACATTTAAAAAAAATTTTTTTTTCAACGTTTTTAATTTTATTTTTGGGACAGAGAGAGACAGAGCATGAACGGGGGAGGGGCAGAGAGAGAGGGAGACACAGAATCGGAAACAGGCTCCAGCCTCTGAGCCATCAGCCCAGAGCCCGACGCAGGGCTCGAACTCACGGACCGCGAGATCATGACCTGGCTGAAGTCGGATGCTTAACCGACTGCGCCACCCAGGCGCCCCATAGCTTGACATTTTTAAAGGGAAGTAACAATGAGTTAAAGACCAGACACCAAGAATACATTTGTGGGAACTTTAATATTGAGAATCCCTCAAATGAAAAAAAGAATTGCTAATTTGATGGAATCTGCTTATTTCTAGAGGCAGACAACCTTTGTTTTAACAAAGAAAATAACTAATGGAAAGACTTGGTAAGTTTAAACTTACTTTTTTTTTTAAGCTTATTTATTTATTTATTTATTTATTTATTTATTTATTTAGAGACAGAGAGAGCACGCACGCGCTCGAGCGCGTACAAGCAGGGGAGGGGCAGAAAGAGAAGGAGAGTGAGAAAGAATCCCAAACAGGCTCTGCACTGTCCTCACAGAGTCCAATATGGGGCCCAAACTCACAAACTGTGACATCATGAGCTGTGAGATCTAAGCTGAAAGCAAGAGTGGGAAGCTTAATGGACTGAGCCAGCCAGGTGCCCCTGTTTAGAAGACTTTTATAAATAGCTTACATCTACAAAAAAGGTGACAAAGATCTGTCCTATAAGATAGCAAATGTAAGGCACCTAGGACAGTGCTTGGCTCAGAGAAAATACTTAGAAATGTGTTATCTTTCACTTACTATCTCTTTACCATGTACTCTACCCCACCCAGCCACTCCCAGATAATCCAACACGTCTCCCTCCCCATCTCTGTGAGAAAAACAAAGACTTCATTATCTTGCTAATGAGGGACCAATCTAGATGGCCTTGGAAGATCACATCATTCACCCCTCCCTTGGTAGGTGGCTCAGCTGGACCTAGCAGTCTGCAGGGTGACAGCAAGGCCTTGTTGACCACATCCTCTTGGCATGCAATGCTGCTCCCAGGGTGCTGTGTGCACACTCACTGGTGTGGTCCTGGGCCAGAGATCTCTTGATATATTTTCCACTACTTAGAGAAACTGAGGGCCACCTAGCTCCTCTGTGGCTAATTGATAAACATGTAACATGATCTCGGAAGACTCCTAGTCTGAAACCACCTTGGACTTGACATGGACAAAACATCTAGGCCTAGTCTGTGTATACAAGAATGAGGGTCTGCAGGACTACTCTGCTTGGAAATTTGCCTCCAGTAAGCCCTACATTCTATCTTTTCCAGGGGGGTCAGTAGCATGGGAGTAGGATCTGTTAGCAGGACACTCACCGCCACAGATAAAAACTATGAAGCAACATGCCTGGGTTGACTCATGTCCGTTGCTGGAATCAAGTATTAATAATGTCTACTATGTAGAAATGTTAGGTAGCTACTGCCTCCCATATCAGCCATTGTACTTAATCAAGCATTTTGCTCCTCAGAATGACAACGCCCCCTTTTCTGGGCTTTACCACTATGCCAGTTAAGTCCCCCATTCTCTTGCTAAAGGTCTTAATTTCTTACTATTATCTTGAAAACTCATTCCAGCTAGCTTCCCACCAAACCCTACTACAATTTCAGAATCTTGTCTGCCGTGGTTTGTAATGACTCGCTTTGCCATACCACCCTACCTCCCCGGGAAAAAATTCACAAAATACATCTCCTCCAAACAACCTAAACTTCTCCCTGCTACATTCACCCCATCTTCCTTATTTTCTCTTTATTCAAGCTATTCCCACAGCAAATTCCATCCAGTCTTCTTTTTTCATTAATTTTTTTAAATGTTTATTTTTGAGAGAGAACACGTGTGAGTGGGGGTGGGGCAGAGAGAGGGAGGCAGAATGCAAAGCAGGCTCGAGGCTCTGAGCTGTCAGCACAGAGCCTGATGCAGGGCTCGAAGTCACAAACTCTGAGATCGTGACCTGAGCCAAAGTCGGATGCTTAACCGATGGAGCCACCCAGGCGCCCTGCATCCGTTCTTCCAAGTCTAACACATTGGATTTTCATGGGCAGAAATCATGGGTACCAGAGGATTCTATTGCAATTGACAGAATGCAAATCATATTTTGTAAAATTTCAAGACAAGGAGTGTAATTTGCTCCTAAGAGTATATATATTAGACCTACAGTGTTTTACTGGATCCGCTAGTTGGCGAGGGACCATCTCGAGAGGGATCCTCGGCTATTTTTATGGCTTCTTCCATTGCTGCAAGAAGACCGTTCCCACCTTCCCCTCTCAAAGCAGGACCGAAACACTCAGGCCTCCGGATGAGCAACCTCACCACAACATTAGCATTCTCTTCCACGCTCTCCCCTAAAATCAAATGAGGAACAAGAACAAACAAACATTGGTCATATGGACATTCTGAGCCAACAGATGTTATGTTAGTTCATTTAGATTTAAAGAAGAATCAGTAAAACCAAAGGACATAGTCACTAATAAAGCTAGAATTCGACTTAAATCACTAGTTTTATGTACACAAGACTCAGAAAGCTTCTTGTACTTAAAATTTGGAAAGTAAAAAGCATTACAGATGCATAGTTTTTTCACCCTTGTTAATTCATTATACGAAATGAAGCCATAAGCCTACCTATTAATTAGGACCCAATTATTTTTTTTTTAATTTATTTTTTTTTTAATTTCTTTTCAACGTTTATTTATTTTTGGGATAGAGAGACACAGAGCATGAACAGGGGAGGGGCAGAGAGAGAGGGAGACACAGAATCGGAAACAGGCTCCAGGCTCTGAGCCATCAGCCCAGAGCCTGACGCGGGGCTCGAACTCACGGACCGCGAGATCGTGACCTGGCTGAAGTCGGACGCTTAACCGACTGCGCCACCCAGGCGCCACTAGGACCCAATTATTCAAATTTACAAGAACTTGTAACTGCCTAAAAATGTTAGTTTAATAATAAAAGCATCGCATTCAAAAAAAATATTAGAAATTAAATTATTACTGTGAACAAACTACTGATTATAAAATATTTTACTAACTTTTTCTTTACTAATATTTGCTTCTTAGATGAAAATGCTAGGATATATTATTATTTTATGCATCTATTTTTATGCAGTTTTAATCATCACCAAAAAAAGACCCAAAGCAATTAGTCTTACCATTACAGAAGACAGCAAATCGGAGAAAGTCAAGGTATCTCTCTCCTTCAACTGGATTCCACCCAATATCTGGGTAACCCTTAGATACCAGCATTGGGCAACTCTGCAGTCCACAACCAGCCAAATATCGAACTACCTACAAACAATGATAAGCAAATGTGTTATCCCATGGGTCGGAAGTCATTAGATGCTAATACAATACATAATAAATGATATTCTCAAAGGACAGTTTAAAACAAATGTTGTTTTGGGGTGCCTGGGTGGCTCAGTCGGTTAAGCATCTGACTTCAGTTCAGGTCATGATCTCACGGTTCATGGGTTCCAGCCGTGCATTGGGCTCTGTGCTGACAGCTCAGAGCCTGGAGCCTGTTTCAGATTCTGTGTCTCCCTCTCTCTGTGCCTCCCCTGCTGGTGCTCTGTTTCTCTCTCTCTCTCAAAAGAGAATAAAACAGTTAAAAAAAAAAAGAATGTGGTTTTGCAAGTTTTTGTTTTTTTAAATGTTTGTTAATTTATTTTTGGGGAGGAGGGGCAGAGAGAGGAGACAGAATCCCAAGAAGGCTCCGAGCGGCCAGTGCAGAGCCCAACTCGGTGTTCGAACTCATGAACTGTGACCTAATGACCTAAGCCGAAATCAAGAGTAGGCAGCTTAACCGAGTGAGCCACCCAGGTGCCCCTGCAAGTTGTTTTTAACCTCATGACAACACATGAACTCTCTTTAGCAAAACCTTAGAATTAAGAAATATTTATAAATCATAACAAAGTGCTATCATCATAAAAATATTTATAAATCAACTCTATGAAAGAAAATGTTCCTAAGTTTCACATCATTTAATTTGAGACTTTTATCTATAAACATATTTGTGCCACCTGGCTGGCTCAGTCGGTAAACCATGCAACTCCTGATCTCGCAGTTGTGAGATAAGCCCCACATTGGATGTAGAACTTATGTTTAAAAAATTGTGTGTGCATATATATGTGTTATACATATATATATATACATTTATATTATATATCATATATGTATTGTACATTATATATAAATCACATGTATATACATATATATATATTATGATATATTTGATAAACTTTAAAAATGTCTAAAGACCCCTCACCCAGTATAAAACCTGAATCCATCGGAGATACTGAAAGACCCATCTGAGATACAGTGATATTTAGAAAAGTGAATTCACTTTCAACATGGTATTATCAATTTAAGTTTGTATTCAAATACCTTGGGTTCAAATCTTTTCTGCATTATTTACTGGATCCTTCTGAGCCATGGTTTCACTCTCTATAAAATTTGAGCAAGTATTACCTACCTTTCAGTATTACTGATTTTAACACATTGAATTTTCTGCTTATCGTTGCCTTTTAAATTACTGTTTTAAGTGAATGTTGATCCTTGGCAAATTTCATAACTGGTCCAGTTTTAAAAGAAATCCCCATGTTATTATCAATGGCAGTAGACTGCCAGTCAAGCAACTTATCAAATTAACCCAGATCAAGTTAAATCGGCTTGAAAAAAAAATAAACAATCTAGCTAAAAATATTTTGTACCGAATTTAAGTATAATTTATGTACAACAAACTCATCTATTTAAAGTATAAGTTCAGTGATCTTTGAGAGATTTATGCATTGGTAAAAAACACAGCACAGTCAAGATGCAGAACATTTCTATCACAGGGAGCCTGTGGGGCTCAGTTGGTTGAGCATCCAACTCTTGATCTCAGCTCAGGTCATGATTTCACAGTTTGTGAGTTCGAGCCCTATGTTGGGCTCTGTGCTGAGAGCATGGAACCTGCTTGGGATTCTGTCTCTCCCTCTCTCTGCCTCTCCCGCTTTCTTTCTCAAAATAAATAAATAAACTTAAGAAAAAAATAGAACATTTCCATCACTCTTCAGGACCCATCCATCCTGCAGGACCCATCCATCCTGCATGTGGATGCCTTGACAATCTGCTTGGTGTCACTACAAATTAACTGGTCTATTCTAGAACATGCAATCCATGTATAAAGATATAATGTACAGGGGCGCCTGGGTGGCGCAGTCGGTTGAGCGTCCGACTTCAGCCAGGTCACGATCTCGCGGTCCGTGAGTTCGAGCCCCGCGTCGGGCTCTGGGCTGATGGCTCAGAGCCTGGAGGCTGTTTCCGATTCTGTGTCTCCCTCTCTCTGTGCCCCTCCTCCATTCATGCTCTGTCTCTCTCTGTCCCAAAAATAAACGTTGAAAAAAAAAAAAAGATATAATGTACATGCATGTGTGTGTGTGTGTGTATATATATATATATCTATATATATATATATACGTATATATAGTATGTAAATGTATAAATGCATATAAGTATATAATTGTATATATATGTATATAAAGATATGTGTGTCGTTCTGTGCCTGGCTTATTTCACTCAGAATAATGATTTTTAGAGTCATTTACATTGCAACACATGTCAAGACTTCATTCCTTCCTTTTGCTTCATAACAGCCTTCCACCGCATATGGAAATAGTCTGTGTTTCCTTATCCATTCATCACCTGATGGACATGGTCTCTAGTTTTTGGCTAAGATGAACAATGTTGTCAGCAATGTCCACACCTTTGTGTGGACATACATTCCTATTTCTAATGAGCAAGTACCTATGAGTGAGAGGGCTAGGTGTGCGTTTAGGACAGGGATACATTTAATTTGTGAAGAAACTGCCAACCTGCTTTCCAAACTGACTCCACCATTGTTCATCTCAACAGCAACAGGTAAGAGTTCCAGGTGCTCTGTATCTTCCACAGCATTTGGCATGGTCAACTTTTTAAATAGTAGCCAATTTAATGCGTGTGTAGATAAAAAGATTTTAGGGACGCCTGGGTGGCTCAGTCGATTAAGCATCCAACTTCAGCTCAGGTCATGAGCTCACAGTTCATGGGTTCGAGCCCCATGTCGGGTTCTGTGCTGACAGCTTAAAGCCTGAAGCCTGCTTCTGATTCTGTGTCTCCCTCTCTCTGCCCCTCCCCCGCTTGTCCTCTATCTCTCAAAAATAAACATTAAAAAATATTTTTTAAAAATAAAAAAAAACAAAAAATGAGAGAGCATGCGCGACTCACTGACCTTATTGCTATGGTAAGGAGTTGGTTTCTTTTTTAAAAATTTTTTTTTCAACGTTTTTTATTTATTTTTGGGACAGAGAGAGACAGAGCATGAATGGGCGAGGGGCAGAGAGAGAGGGAGACACAGAATCGGAAACAGGCTCCAGCCTCTGAGCCATCAGCCCAGAGCCCGACGCAGGGCTCGAATTCACGGACTGCGAGATCGTGACCTGGCTGAAGTCGGACGCTTAACCGACTGTGCCACCCAGGCGCCCCAGGAGTTGGTTTCTAAAAATATGCAAACATACAGATTTTAGTAAAATATATTTGCTTTAAAATATGATTTTAGACTATAAATATTAAACTGTATTTACAGAAATATAAATAATATGAAAATGTGTATTCATCTCTATAATATACAAATATGTTTTTGTTGTGTGGTTTTTGTTTTCCTTTGGAGAGAGAGAGTGAGCAGGGGAGAAGGGCAGAGGGAGAGAGAGAGAATGTTAAGCAGTTTCCACGCTCAGTGTGGAGTCTGATGTGGGGCTCGATCCCAGGACCCTGGGATCACTGACCTGAGCTGAAATCAAGAGTTGGATGCTCAACTGACCGAGCCACCCAGGTGCCCCTACAAATGTGTTTTTTTTTCAACTGTTGAAAAGAAAGCAGCAAAGACAAGAAAGGAGACAGAGAAGAGGTTTCAATCTTAAATGGCATGAGCATGAAGGGCTAGACTAAAAGGTGACTTGGAGTGAGCGGAAGGGTGTCAGGAAAAGAGCCAGGAAGACATAAGGCAGAAGAATACTGCAGATGGACGGAGCAGTGAGCACAGGGTCCCTGAGGCAGGAACACAATCGGCGTGGCTGGAGCAAACAGAAAAATGAGGAGAATTGCAGGAAATGAAATAAGACGGATATGTGAAATCAGATGAGTCAGAAGCTATCACAATGCCTTTACTTGAAGCGAGGCAGGAAGTCTCTGGAAGAATTGTAGACAAGATTAATAAGATCCTTTCAGGAGGCTCACTCTGGCTGCTAAATAGGGGAGCAAGGGAGGGACCGGGGAGACTACTTAGAGTGCAATCACAACGACAACACTGGGTGGGGGGGCTTATCTATGTTCCGGCAAACGTGTATGGGGCTTCAAGTGCTTGGTTACAGTGCAAGGTCTTAATATGTCACGGATGCCTTGCCCTGGAATATATGTCTCTAGGATACGAAATGTACTTTGGGATGTTAAAACAACCTTGGAAGAAATTGAAACTGTACAACTAAAACAAAAGGAACAACAGATACTTTTTTGTTCATTCCCTTTCCAGAGAAAAATGCATGTGATCAGAGGAAACACTTTATCTCAAGTTTCTTGTTCTTTGTAATTCACAATTATATGCTATATGTAATATATGTAACATGTTTATAGTACGCAATAGATGTGACCGTATCAATGTAACTATGACTCCATTACAGTTATATTTAAATAAACTTGAGAAAAAACTACAAACAAGCATCACACACACACAGGGGTGTGGATGTTGCTTACCTTTTCCAAATCTGGCTCACGCAGAGCTAAGGCCAGTTCATTATTATCCATCACTGATGCGGCTGCCACATCCAGTGGTGTTGAACCTCTCATTGCTGGTGAGGCTGTTAATTCAAACAACATTGAGACAAAACCTAGATTGTGCGGCAACCATGAAGGCTATATAAAAACATACTTTCCCTCAAAATTTCATTTCTAAATACAACACATACTGCACTAATCTAAAATTAATTTCCATTAAAGTTTAATTTAACTGTAACATATTCTTTTTATCTTAAAGATGATATAAAAGCCACGAATTTACTTACCAAGACCAACACTGCTGTTCTCCAATAAATAGCTGAGATGGTCAAACATAGCTTTTTGATTCTGCCGACTTATACGACAGAAGTAACAAAGAAAACGGCAACAGTTGGCCACCATCTTGGGAAAAGTGATTTCCTACGTAAAGAGCATTTAGTTAGCGGTGAGAGCCAATGGTCTTCAGAAAACTGAGTTCAGAAGCTGAGATCCAATCACACTGTCATTCCATGGGTGCCCATGGGTGCCAAGCCTTCGAGACTGAAGACCATCATTTGTCTCGACTTTAACTCACCCAGTCTTTGAGCCATTGAAGAACAAGCCCAGCACTAATTTAGAAACCTCATTATCATCAATGAATTGATCTGGAACTAATCTACAGGCAGCACAAACCTAGCTAGCATTCAGGCAGACTCAGTTGTGAATCCTGACTACCCGTTAGCTGTGCTTCCTCGGGATGATACTCCGTCTCAATGATTCAGTTCTGTAAAACTGGATTAAAATGAATGATAATACTTACTTGAGGTAAGATAGGGAAAGTTCAAGGAGACCACTTGTGAAAAGTTCCACTACCTGGAACCACAGAAGGGCGTTCTTACCATAGGTGTTATTGTTGTTGTTTTTAAGTTTCCAGGATTCACACCTTCTCTGATTTGCCCGACTTGTCACTGTGATGAGCCCCTTGACCAGAAGGTTTGCATGCTAGATCCCATCAAATACATCTCCCCTGAGGGCCAAATCTTGTTCTAATATACCCCAGATGAATCCCTTGAGTCCCTCCCTAACAGAATACTTTATAAATATCTTTGTAAGTCTGTCTAACTGAACATGAGAAAAATGGACTCCTTTCCACATTTTGAAGAATATATCTTAACATTTCCAAAAATACTGAAATATATTTTGCAAATCATAGGTCATGAAATTATACCGATTCCCATGAAGTTGCCTGTTTTATTACTCTTGTTCATTTGGTTTTAAAGAACTTTATTTCAATTTTGAATCACTTAAAAAATTAACTTTATAGTCTTAAAACAAATACTCCAGAGCACCATCTTCAAAACGTGGCCTGGATCAGGAATTTAGTGGAACTAACTGTTGTCTAAATCAAGGGGAATGTCTGGGTCTGAAGAACATGTTTTGTATTTTGGACTTTTTATGTAATGGACATTAATTTATAATTCGGAATTTTGAAAAGTTAGCATAGTATTAACGTTTAAAGTTTCTAAATAACCACTAAATGGGAATAGTTTAGGAGACAGAAAATTACACGGTATAAGATAGAAACTGTTGCCAATATCAAAGGAAAAAAATAACTAGCATATTCAATTCTCAATCTATAAGGTTTTATTATGTTTTTTTTTTCGAAAGCTATTCTTTAAAAAATAGTCCTCCTAAGAAGATTTAAGAAATCCTCATTAAGAATATGTAATGGATGCCCTCAGGAGTCATATTTCTTCGCATCTTAAGAATCAAAGGTTTTCCTTTACCTTGGACTCTCCACCTCCAAGGACATTCACCATGACCTCCATCACCGTCTCGTGCATCCCAAGTGCCCTCATGAGATTAGGGTGCTGGTAAAATACTTTATTATTCATGATATCCCTAGAAAGGACAATATAGGTAGGGGGAAGGGGAGCACAAAAGTCAGAGAAAAATTTAAATGACAATTTATCTGAGGTCCTGATAAATCTTTTGGAAATAATTCCTGGCATGAACAAAAAAGTAAGCACAATCATGATTAAAGTTAATAAAAGCAAAAGCTAATAAGCATAATTAATTGAGTTTTCCTCAAAAAATAATGATAGCCTCTCAAAAATAGTATACAAGTTATCTATTTTTTTTCTATTACAAGAAAGGTACTAAATATGTAAACATTCATCTATATGAAATATACTTTTGGACACTTATTCCTAATTTTATATATATCCAAACATCTGTTCAACCTTCTTTAGTATAGAAATATGAGTCACTGTTATACCATGTTTCTATGAAAATTCCCATATAAATTATTGATATAAAAACATCTATGCTTTTCATGTAGGTTATTTTTCACACTGTATTCAATATTTGTATGTTTAATAACATTTTGTGTTATCATTCCAGAGAAATGCTTTTTTTTTTTTTTTTTTAATTTTTTTTTCAACGTTTATTTATTTTTGGGACAGAGAGAGACAGAGCATGAAGGGGGGAGGGGCAGAGAGAGAGGGAGTCACAGAATCGGAAGCAGGCTCCAGGCTCTGAGCCATCAGCCCAGAGCCTGACGCGGGGCTCGAACTCACGGACCGCGAGATAGTGACCTGGCTGAAGTCGGACGCTTAACCGACTGCGCCACCCAGGTGCCCCGAGAAATGCTTTTTTAAAGGAAACATATTCTCAAAGAGAAACTGAATACACATCAAGGCCAGGTTCAACTAATCTAAATCCAGTAAATTAAAATGGACATTCAATTTGAAAAAAAAAAAAAAAAAAAAGCAGCAGATGATATCCAAAATGTTTCCCATTATTACTATTCCATTACATATTTTTATAATATGTATGTAAAGGCATTCCTAAGGATATTAATGTTTAGTAGACATTAAAAATAAATAACTCTTGATTTTTATTTGAACGTAAATTAAATCAATATGATTTTTTCTACAAAACCCTCCTGTCATGGATATAACAAGAAAATTATATTGCACAGCCTGCAGGGAAACAAACTTTCCCTTCATATCTGATCTCCTTTGACTCACTCACCTCTTGATTTAGTCATATGCTAACTTATAGGTACTCCAGGCATATCAAGACAATGAAATAGTATGAATCTTGTATTATGATTTTCTTTTGCTTTTTTTTTTTTTTTTTAGTTTTAGTTTTTCACTTTTGTTTTTTAATGTTTATTTTGAGAGAGATAGAGAGCAAGTGAGACAAGGGCAGAGAGAGAGGGAGAGAATCCCAAGCAGGCTCTGTGCTGTCAGCGCAGAGCCCGACGTGGGGCTTGAACCCACGAACCGTGAGATTGCAACCTGAGCCGAAATCAAGAGTTCGACACTTAACCAACTGAACCACTCAAGTGCTCCTAGTTTTTCACTTTTAGTTGGGTTTAGTTTATCTTCAATAACAAGAGTCTTTAGATAGCACAACTCACAAAAATGACATGGGGGCCAAAGACTAAAATAGGCCAGATCTATTCCGTGCAAGAACATATGGGGTAAAGAAAGGACTCCTTTTCCTTCACGGAAGACAGCAACACATGTAGCAGGAGAACCTTCCATTTTCAAACCACACTTGTAATCACAGGCTGTGTTCTTTCATTAATGGAAATCGTTTTGCATGACCGAACTTTGGAAAATATTTAATTGAAAACTTGTTTGCCTTTAGTTCCAAGTAAATTGAGTGGATTTATAATTCTACCACTCAGTAGGCAGGTTGTCACTCATTAAACGTGTCCCGTGAGAAGTATGTCTCATACCACAAAGACGTAACTTTTTGTTTCAGAAATATTTTGTTTTATCACTACTGACTTATGTGTTAACAGCATATATTATCACTATATGTTCATTTGACAAGAAAGAGTTCATTTCCTAGAAGGCTTCCTTTCTCATTTGGTTAAGTAAGATCATTTATGTGCAAGGCCCTTTTGGGTTAGATATAAGTATTAGTATTCAAAACAAGATTCAGGGGCACCTGGGTGTCTCAGTCAGTTGAGCGTCCAACTCTTGATTTCAGCTCAGGTCGTGATCTCACGGTTGTGAGACTGAGCCCCATGTTGGGCTCTGTGCTGAGTTGGGAGCCTGTTTGGGATTCTGCCTCCCCCTCTCAGGCCCTCCCATTCACACGTTGTCTCTTTCGCTCTCAAAATAAATAAATAAATAAACGTTAAAAAAATAAGATTCATGTTCATATGATTACAAGGACCATCGAATTTGCTTTTGTTGTTTCGGTTTTTCTGTTCTCCTTCTTTTGTCCTGTTAGTATACTTATTTTTAGTGTGCCGTGATAATGATTTTGGAATAGAACCTTCCAGCGTTATTTTAATGATTTCAAATACTTGATAGTTCCAAGACCAATATACAGTATTATGTTCTGAACTTAGAATGCACGTAAATAATACTACACAATCTGAGTCTTTCTATAATTTTTCTACCCACAATGTTATTTTTTAGGTCAAAGAAAAGAGTAGTTATTCCATTCCATTAGTGTTTTGTTTTGTTTTGTTTTAAGAACTCTAGGTTTCTTTAACCCTTTTATTGTTTCTTTATACCCTATTTTATCCATGTCAGTAGTTATTTTCATTCTCCTCTTTAATGTTTATCTAACTAGGTTAACTGTTTTGGCAGAATGTTTGTATTCTCTATCATTTTTCAACATTTTACATTCAATTTCTACATCCAATGTTTAGATATTATTCTTGCAAACGTGATAAAGCTTAAACTTTTATTTTTGTATTTTCATATTCCAGAATTATGCAATCTTGTGAGTGATTCCTATATTTACGCATGTATACATCAGTAACACACTCAATAAAACTTACTGCTTCTCATTCTTTCTCTCTGAATTCCATTTCCTTTTCTCTAATGCACAGCCTTTAGAAGGTCTCTCGATGAGGAACTGTAAGTAAATATTCTGAAATAACTTTGTATTGCCCTCACTCTTAAATATGGGCTATAAACTCTCATCTCCAAATCTCCTTGAAGCACAAGTTCATTGTGAAGAATTCTCAACTGAGTAACACATGGTAAACTGATGGTTATTTTCTGTCAGAATTTTGAATATGGTTTCTCATTGAGTAATGATCTTTAGTTTTGCCATTGAGAATTCCAAATACTGTTTTTTTGTTGCTGTTGTTGTTGTCATTGTTTGTTTTTGTTTTGTTCTGTTTTTGCTAAGTATTCTGGCTTTTCTTTCAACTTAGTTTTAAGATAGTCTATCACTGGTTTTATGCAGTTTCCCTACATTTTATCCAGGTGGGTATATGGAACTACCTGTACTTGAGGATAATCTGTGAACTTGTGTTCTTCATTGATTCTGAAAAACTCAAGCCATCAGCTAGCTCTTCAAATGTCCCCATTTTCTAGATTATCTATTCTGTCTTTTCCAGAAATCCTGTTTACCATATTGTAGACCTTCTTATACTATCCCCTAGGTCTCAAAACTGCTCTTTTGCATTTTCTTATCTTTACCTCTCAGTGCTACAGTACTAAGTAATTTCCTCAGATCTATGATCCCACTTACCAATTTTCTCTTCAGCTAGATCTTTCCTAATGTAACCAATTCACTGTTTTTAATGTCATTTAATGTATTTTTCATTTCTAGAAGTTCTCTTTTGATCTTTTCCTTTTTATATTTTCTTTTATTCTTTGTTTATTTTTGAGAGAGAGGGGGCGGGGCAGAGAGAGAGGGAGACAGAATCTGAAGCAGGCTCCAGGTTCTTAGCTGACAGCACAGAGACTGATATGGGACTTGAACTCATAAGCTATGAGATCAGATCTGAGCCGAAGTTGGAAGCTAACCTGACTGAGCCATCCAGGCACACCTCCCCTCTTTTTTTAAATAATTTTTCTTGGGGCGCCTGGGTGGCGCAGTCGGTTAAGCGTCCGACTTCAGCCAGGTCACGATCTCGCGGTCCGGGAGTTCGAGCCCCGCATCAGGCTCTGGGCTGATGGCTCAGAGCCTGGAGCCTGTTTCCGATTCTGTGTCTCCCTCTCTCTCTGCCCCTCCCCCATTCATGCTCTGTCTCTCTCTGTCCCAAAGATAAATAAACGTTGAAAAAAAAAATTTTTTTTTTAAATAAAAAAAAAAAATAATTTTTCTTTATTTTTTTAATGTTTATTTATTTCTGAGATAGAGAGAGGGAGAAAGACAAGAGTGCAAGCAGGGGAGGGCAGAGAGAGATCTTTGGATCCTTTTCAAATTTTCATGGACATTTTTCCATGATTTATTTTTGGAGAATTGATTTATCCTTTGTATTTTTACCATTTTAAATACAGTAACTTTATGTTCTCTTTCTGGCACTGTATTATCTGAAGTTTTGAAATAGGTGTTCTGACTCCACCAGTATTGTATCTGCAGACCCTTGCTTAAGGCAGACTGTTTCCTTACGTACTTTGCAATTTTCAATTGTAAGTTAACCACTGGTAGTATTTAGGTTTTTCCTTCAAAATTTCACAGTGATTTGAGGCCAATTTTTATGTTCTCAGTTTTGGGATCCTTAGGCTACACATGAGGTATAAATGTTAATCCCCAAATTCACACAAAGCGCACCTATAATGTTGAATTCTCTCCCCATTCTTTTTTCAAGGCCCAGTAAATACAGACAAAATTCCTTATTCCTGTGGTGAGTGTTTGTCTCCCCACAGAGTTTAATGTGTCTTTATTAACCTGTATTTTTATATATGATTGTACATTACTGAAAAATTAATTTAAAAAACCCTCTAAGATATGTGCTGTATCATTGCCACCTTAGCATCTAGTTGTAAAATTAGTCGTTTTTCTAGTGAGCTGTAAAATATAATGTCTAGAAAAGCAACAATCTCATTTAATAATCATATTACAGGTGTATCTCACAAATATTGCAGATTTGGTTCCAGATCACTGCAATAAAGCAAAATATTGCAATAAAGCAAATCAAATAATTTTTTTGGTTTCCCAGTGCATACAACAGTTATGTTTATAATATGCTAGCGTCTATTAAAAGCATAGGAAAATTACGTTTTACAAAACAGCACATGTACCTCAATTAAAAAATACTTTATTGCTGAAAATACTAACATTTCCTGAGCTTTCGGTGAGTCGTAACCACTGATCACAGGCCATCATAACAAATATAATAATAATAACAAAGCCTGAAATATTGTGAGAATTGCCAAAACGTGACACAAAGAGACACAAAGTGAGCAAATGATGTTTAAAAAAAAAAAAAAAAGTTGCCCATAGACTTGCTCGATGCAAGGTGGTCATAAACTTTCCATTTGTGAAAAACTCACTACCTGCAAAGTGCAATAAAGCAAGGCACAATACGATGCGGCGTGCCTGTAATCTAAGCAGTGTATCTATATTAATAAATGTACAGTGCACCTACTGGAATAAACGATTAGAAGGAAGACATTTATAAGACAGAGGTTGTAGTAGTTAAATAAATTACCCTAATCCACGAATCATAAGCTTCTCTTCTTCTTTGCCCATTCTTACACTCAGCAGAGAACGAATCTGACCGAGAGATGCCAGCAGGTTGATGGTATCCTCCACGGAGACACCATTTATAGTGTAGGTCTTTGGCAGAGCCCGGACCAGACCCCCAATGCCATCGTACTGTCGATGGAGCAACACAAACATGGCCCTCACCAGTTCAGGGTCTTCAATGACAGACTCTTGCGCCCATCGGACCATGGTCTCAGAAATCAACTGCTGAAGAGTGGCTGCACAGTCATTACGGATATTTTTTAAAAGGAAAAAAAAAAAAAAACGAGAGAAGACAAATGAGTTGGGCATTTCAGCTGTACCTCTCATAGCCCCAGCCTAATACCAGAAATGAAAAGGCTAGGAACATTCTTTGAAGAAAAACTTCATTTAAATGCTATATATGTAATATATATCTATATCTATATCTATATCTATATCTATATCTATATATGTCAGTCATATATACATGTCATATATATATGTCAATAAAAATGAGTTATGAACATGAAAAGGCAAAAACACACAAGCTTTTCCTTAACACTCATTCTTATAATTAAAGAATTTAAGCTGTTTCAGAACTATGGCCACTTTTTCAAAACTATTGTTGGCAATCCATAGGGTAATCGATATGAACTATTACTTCCACTTTTATTTTCTTTGTTGCATTATTTTCCTCCCAGATGTGACATCACCATACATCCTTATAAAGTCAGTCATGTGCACTCAAGGAACTATCTATTTTTCTATCTCCTCATTTGAGCCATTTGTAATAGTGACCGCATATAATTATATTTTTACTATAATTTGGATCCCTAATTGTCAGTTAAAATGTCTTCAAAGGATTTGATTGTAAAGCTGTATTCAAGTGAAAAGTTATTCTAATGTAAATTTGCAATGTAACATACAGTGTAATACAGACAAAAGCAATAGAACTTCCAAACCTCCTAAAAATAAATAATAAAAATATCAAAGCTAAGTAGAAAGATGCGACCAACTTAGACACAAAGAGGTACTCAATTCCTATCATTAACACACTGGCAGATTTTCAAAAGAAGCTGTTTTACCTGCTTTAATCTACACAGGAAGTAAAGGAAAAACAAAACCTACCAATTTTAACCAAACAGGAAATGTAGATAAATAGCCAGTATACTTCCACATGTCTCAAAACCAGGCTGATAATTTTAGTACGTCAGAACCATAAACCAGATAATAACAAAAAGTGTTTCATAGGAAATCTTGAACTCTTATTTGGAAGAAGGTATGATTCAGATCTGCGTGTGACACTGAACAGTACATTTAGAAGTAGTTGTATGGATGAAGGATTTTCACTGTAAGTTAATGGAAACGAAAAACAACTAAAATCTTCATGAGTTTATTTCTCTTCTTTCAGTAAAAACTGTTCATAAACCAGTGCTGCCTCACAGAATGAACAGAGACTTCGATGTGAGGTAGCGAGTAAGAAGGATCTCATCAACCCACTACTTGAACCCCTCCTGGGCCAGTGCCATGCCTGAGACTCACAGCCCCAGTGTGCGTATTCATTTTCTGAGTATTGGCTGTTACTCTTCAGTTATTTAACTGAATATTTATCCTATTTAGGATAAAAGTACATCAGAAACGCGTAACGGTTCAGGAAATATCACAGAACCAAAATATAGTTACAGATACTATCTAAACTTTAACAAAAAAGCTTAACTTGGTGCAAGAACATTTGAAAGTCAATAGCATAATATTTAGACATGAAAGCTAAATTACCCACTTTGTACCTTCTCTTGATAGTCCCTGATCAAATACCTAAATTTTTGGTCCTCCAGGGAGCCCATCCATCCTTATAATACTGCTACCTCTCCATCCGTTCCTACAAATACAGTTGGATGCTCCTCTCTACTTCTGGCGGCCATAGACATCAACTTGAGAATGTGATTCTTAGCAGTGCCCGGGGGGGCTCAGTCGGTTAAGGCACCCGACTTCAGCTCCGATCAGCTCAGGTCACGATCTCACGGTTCGTGAGTTCGAGCCCCGCATTGGGTTCTCTGCTGTTATCCTGGAGCCTGCTTCGGATCATCTGTCCTTCCCTCTGCCCCTCCCCTGCTCTCTGTCTCTCTCTTCCTCTCAAAATTAGTAAATACACTTTAAGAAAAAGAATCTGATTCTGAGAAGCTGCAAACTCAATTTTCTCACTGGCTCATCTAGTATGATGTTAGCTCAAAGGAGAAATAAATGTCAGCAGTTGGGTTGCTTTGCCAGTTTCCTTCCATACTGCTTACAGGACTTCTTGGAGCCACTCTCAACTGGTTTTTCGGCCTGTTTCTTCTTCAGGTATGTCACCTTTTCTACCAAGGACAGCAGGCGTCCTCTAATTGTTAAGTCACTGTTTCCATCAAGAGACCCATCTTCATCCAGCTCAATTCCTGGTGTGAGAAAAGCAAAGAGAACGAAGAAAAGAAAAATGTGTTTGAAAGAAATACATTTAGGAGAAAAATGCTCTGGTTTTGCAACTTATCCACACATAGCTTAAAGCAATGCTGTCACGTCAAGAACATTTGACAAGACAGAGTTAAGCACTCTTTCACTAGCTCTCAGGTAAAATCCACACACTGGCCTCTACGTCCTCCTTTCTCTTTTTCTCCTGTTCCAATGGGCCCAGGGCTATTAGCAGCTGAGACAAATTATAAAATGAGACAGAGAACAAAAAAACACTCTTAAGAGTCCAGATCAATTCTGCTATTTAGTCTGACCCTTAGGCTGACCCTCAGGCATGTCTGACCTCACGTGCTATCTGCACAAACTCACAGCTTTGCCCTCCCAAAAAAAACTCCTGAACTGTCAGCCACCTCAATTGCCTCTAAAAATCACAGTGATATTTTAACAAATTGAGAGAAAAGATGGTAGGCATAATTAGCTATCCTAACCCAGCGAAATGCTTTATGTCTTAAGCAATAATCCTATCATTTTTAGAGCATCCCTTTATTTATAACAGATATATAGTATAACTTTTCTTGCACTCATTTAGTCTTCTTCATTCATAAGTTAAATTAATATGCAAGGTTATGCTTGTATTCTCTTCACTAAACTAAAATAAAAATAATGCCACTGGTGCTATACATCACTTAACAAATGACTAATAAATGACTAATTAATTCTCTTTCACTGGGACAGTTTGTTCGTATCACTGCTTAAAGGGAAAAAGCACCACATGTTGAGAACAAGTCAATTCTATTTTAAAAGTTCTTAGAATGAAAGGTGGGGAAAGCTCCCTTAATAGATTTGGGCTACTGACATATAGCTTAACAAAGGATTTCCTTAAGCATTAATTAATTTCAAAAGATATGTGCCACATTTCTTAGGCCAGTCCTAAAAAGTGCCCCACAACTGGTTTAAATACAACTATTTGTGATCAAATATCTTTAGACTAAATCAACCTCTCATCTCTTTGTCAGAAGCATCTGGTTACATGTCCCAATCCCCCCTTCCCATTCCCTGCCACTGAAGAAAAGAGAAAAAATAAAAATAAGATGTTGGTTACCTCCTGCTTAGTACTAAAGCCTTTGTGATCTCTCTACTTTTTATGACTTCCCACACAGGGTCAGTTAACCATTTTGGCATAGTAAATATTCTTATATGGACTCCTAACAGGCATCATGTATATTTCTGAGCCTATTTACATTTATATTAACTTTGGTATCAGTACATGTGTATGAAAAATACACATTGACGGCTCAACAAAATTACGAAAACAGTTCGAAACAAGAAGTTTGACAAGGAAACAGTAATCATTAAAACGAATAAACAGAAATCCTAGAGTTGAAAAATACAGTAACTGAAGAATTTGACTGAGAGTTTCAAAAGTAGACTCAACATGCAGAAGAAGAATCAAAAACCTGAAGAATAGGTCGATTGAAATCATGCAGTCTGAAGAAAACCTATGAGATTTATGGGACAAAATGGAAAGAAACAATATTCACATTGTGGGAATTCCAAAAGGAGAAAGCACAAGGGCCAGAAAGTATATTTAAATAATGGCTGAAAACTTCCCAAATCTGGGGAGAGAAATGGACATGCAGATCCATGTGGCCCAAAAGACCCCAAAGGTGTTGAACCTGTAGAAGGCTACACTGAGACACATTATGATTAAAATGTCAAAAAGCAAAGGCAAGAAAAGAATTTTAAAAGCAGCAAAAGAGAGAAGTTATGTAAAAGGGATCTCCCATAAGAACACTGGCAAATTTCTCATCAGAAACTTGTCAGGACAGGAGAAAATGGGACCACTTATTCAAAACACTGAAAGAAAATAACTATCAGCCAAGAATTCCATACCCAGCAACACTGTCCTTCAGAAAAAGAGGAGGGATAGATACTTTCCCCAATAAACAAAAGCTAAGGAAGTTCATTACCACCAAATCTGCCTTATAGGGAATGTCAGAGGGAGTTCTTTGAATGGAAGTCAAAAAACTCTAATTAAGATCATAAAAACACAAAAAGGTAGCATAAATATTACCAGTAATGGTAAGCATATAATCAAAATTAGATTTTACAGTAAGGTAACAGTGGTGCATAACTCACGATTCTTCTTTAAAATTAGCTTTTTTAAATGAATTAAAATATGTTGTTATAACTTTACGTTATTTTACATAAACCTCATGGTAACCACAAGGGAAAATTTTATAATAATTATACAAAAGAACACAAGAAAAAAGGCAAGCATACTCATAACAAAAGATATCAACACAAAATACAGCAGGATAAATAAAAAGGAAAAGTTGATTTACAAAACAACCCAAAAAATAATGAAATAGTAAGTCCTTATTTGCAATATAATTACTTTAAATGTAAATGTATAAAATTCTCCAACCAAAAGACCCAGAATAGCTGAATAAAAATAAGATCCAACCATATGCTGCCCATAAGAGATTCACTTTAGCCTTAAAGACAAAGACCAAGAGTGAAGGGATGAAAAATGGCATTTCAAGCAAATAACTAAAAATAATAATAATAATAATAAAAATAATAATAAAAACCAACAACTCCCACCAAAACATAATCAAACCAAAATAAAATACCACAGGAAGCTATACATTCATCAGATAAAAGAGACTTTAAACTAAAAATGGTAAAATGAGGCAAAGAGGGTCATTATATAATGATAAAGAGGTCAATACATCAATAAGATATAACAACTATAAATATTTATGCACCCAACACTGGAGTACTTAAATGTATAAAGGAAAAGGTAAAAAACAAAAACAAAAACAAAACTAAATGGGGAAATAAGGAGTAATATAATAATAGGTGGGGACTTTAATACCCCATTCTCTACAATGAATAGATCATCCAGGACAGAATCAATAAGGAAAGCATGGATTTTAACAACAGTACAGATCAAATGACCTAGAGGACATATAGAAAACATCCTATTACACAAAAGCAGAATACACACTCTTCTCAAGTGCACATGGAATATTTTCTAGGATAGAATAGATGCTAGGCCATAAAACAAGTCTTAGTAAATTCAAGAGGGCTGATTATACTGGTTATCTTCTCTGACCACAAGGCATGAAATCAAAAATCAATGACAGGGGGAAACCTGGAAAATTCATGAACACAGGGAAATTAAACAGCATTCTCTTGAATAACCAATGAATCCAAGGATAAGTTAAAGGGGAAATAAATTTAATGAGACAAATATAACTGGAAACACAACATGCCAGAATTTATGGGGGCAACTAAAGCAGTTCTATGAGGGAAGTTCATAGCAGTACATAAGTGCTTACATTAAGAAGCAAGAAAGATCCCAAATAAACCAAAGTGTAATCTTAAGGAACGAGAAAAAGAGGAATGAACAGAGCCTAAAGTTAGCAGAAGAAAGGAAATATTAAAGATTAGAGCAGAAATAAATGACGTATAGATCAAAAAACAATAGAAAAGATTAACCAAAATAAGAGTTATTTCTTTAAAAAAAACCCAACAAAATTGACAAACGTTTAGGTAGACTAACCAAGGCCGGGGGGGAGGAAACAGGACTAAAGTTAACAACAATATAAATGATAAAGGAGACATTGTAAATGAAAAAATGAAAAAGATACCACAGAAATTCTAAAGATTATAAAAGGTTACGATGAAGATTATAAGCAAACAAAGTGGGCAACCTAGAAGAAATGGAAAAGTTCTTAGAAACATACACCTTACCAAGACAGAAATGGAAACTCTGAATAGAGCAATTTAAGGAAAATGAATCCGTACTCAAATATCTCACAATGAAGAAAGGCTTTACTGGTGAATTTTACCAAACATTTAAAGAAGAATTAACAGCAATTCTTAAACTCTTCCAAAGAAATCAAAAAGGAGGAAACACTCCCAAACTCATTTTACTAGGCCAGCATTATCCTGACACCAAAACTGCAAAGAACACTACCAGAAAAGAAAGCCACAGGACATTATCCCTGACATACAGGGATGCAAAATTTCTCAATACCAGGAAATTGAATTCAACAGCATATTTAAAGGATCATTCTCCATGATCAAGCATGATTTATCCCTGGGATTCAAGGATAGTTCAACATATGCAAAACAATCAACATGATACACCACAATAATAGAATGAAAGAAAAGAATCATATGATCATTTCTGTAGGCACGTTGGAAAGAACACTCAACCAAATTTAACATGCATTCATGATAAAAACTCTTAACAAATTAGGCACAGAAGAAATATATCTCAACATAACAAAGGCCAATATGACAAACCCATAGCTTTTATTTCTCAATGGTGAAATATTAAAAATGTTCCCTCTAAGATTAGGAACAGAACAAAGTTACCCACTCTCACCATTCCTATTCAACACAGTACTGAAAGTCCTAGCTAGAACAATTAGGGAATAAAAAGAAATAAAAGGTACATGAATTGGAAAGGAATAAATGAAATGGTTTCTATTTGCAGACAACATGATTTTTATATAGAAAATCCTAAAGATTCAACCTAAAAACCTGTTTGATCTAATCAATGAATTCACTAAAGTTGCAGGACAACAATATGTAGTGTTTCTATAAACTGAAAATGAAATTTTTGAAAAAGAAATTAAAAAAATCATTCCCATTTACAATAGCATCAAGAACAATAAAATACTCAGGAAGAGGTTTAACTAAGGAGGCAAAAGATTTCTATGCTGAAAATTACAATACATTGGTGAAAAGAAGAAGGCACAAATACTGGCAAGGTATCTTCTGTTAATGGATTTGGAAGAATATTGTTGAAATGGTAATATTATCAGAAGCTATCTTAGATTCAATGCAATCCCTCTCAAGATTTCAAAGGCATTTTTTACAGAAGTAGAAAAAACCTTTCTAAAATTTATATGAAATCACAAAATCCTCCAATAGCCAAAGAAATTCTGAGAAAGAAGGGTAAATCAAGAAGTATCACACTTCCTGATTTCACTAGAGTCATCAAAACAGCATGGAACTGGCATAAAAATGAACAAATAGATAAATGGAAAAGAATCGAGAGCCTGGAAATAAACCCAAGCGTACATGGTTTACTGTTAGTTGACAAGGTTGCCAAGAATACCCAATGGAGAAAAAGACAGTCTTCAATAAATGGTGCTGGGAAAATCAGATATTCACATTTAAAAGAATGAAACTGGACCCATATCTTAACCACTCATGAAAATTAACTACAAATGGATTAAAGACTTAAATGTTTGACCCCAAATCATGAAACTTCTAGAAAAAAAACATAGCAACAAAGCTCCTTGATATGGGTCTTGGTAATAATTTTATGGATATAACACCTAAACCACAAGCAACAATAACAAAAATAAACACATGGGACTACATCAAATTAACTACTAACCAAGTGAAAAGACAACCTACAGAATGGGGAAAAATGTTTTCAAACTATATATCTGATAAGGAGTTGATACCCAAAACATATAAAGAACTTCTATAACTCAGTAGCGAACAAAACAAAACAAAAAAACCCAACTCAATTAAAAAATGGGCAAAGGACTTGAATAGACGTTTCTTCAGCTCCAAAAAAGACATATGAAAGGCCCAAATGGTACATGAAAAGATGCTCAACATCATCACTGGTCATTAGAGAGAAGTAAATCAAAACCATAATCAGGTAGCAAAGCACCTCACACCTATTAGGATGGCCACCACTGAAAAGGCAAAAGATTAACAAAATGCTGGTGAGCATGTGGAGAACAGAACACCTTGCACACTGCTGATGAATTGTAAATTGGTACAGCTATTGTGGAAAACAGTATAGAGGATCCTCACAAAATTTTAAAAATAGAACTACCATATGATCCAGTAACCCACTTCTTAAAACATATCCAAATGAAACAAAAACACTAATTTGGAAAAGGAATCTGCACCTCCATGCTCATAGGAGCATTGTTTACAATAGCCAAGACATGGAAACAATGTAAGTGTCCATCTGGAAATGAATGGATAAAGAAGTTGTGGTATATACATACTACGGAATATTATTTAGCCAGAAAACTGGGAAATACTGCCATCTGTGATAACAAAGACAGAACATGAAGGCATTACGCTAAGAGAAATAAGCCAGACAGAAAAAGAGAAATATTGTATGATCTCACTTATATATAAAACCTAAAAACCAAAACAAACACATAAGCAAACAACAAACTCAGAGAAAAAGAAAGCAGACTTGTTACCAGAAGTGGGGAGTGGGGAGAGAGGAATTGAAGGAAACTGGTCAAAAGGTACAAACTCCCAGTTACAGGTTAAATAAGTACTAGGTATGCAATGTACAGCATGATGACTATAGCTAACCCTGCTGTATGAAATACAGGAAAATTGTTAAGAAGGTAAATCCTAAGAGTTTTCATCACAAGGAAAAAAAGTTTTCCCGTTATTCTTCCTTGTAAAATTTTAATGCATCTATATGAGAAGATGGATGCTTAGCAGAACCTATTATGGCAATCATTTCATAAGATATGCAAATCAAACCATCACACTGTATATTCTAAAATTATATAGTGGTGAATTATCAATTATCAATTAATCAATCAATAACACATTTAAAAAGAGTTGTAAGTCAAGAAGACATTACCACAATGTGTCATCAAATCTTCATGAAAATCTAAGAGCTGGTCTCGGATTTCTTCAGGACATGGACATTCACTTTTATCATCCTTAAAATTGAGAAGCATATTGATCTGAAAGTTTGGACAAACAAGAAAGAGGAAGAACAAGAGTAAAAGAAAAGTGAAATCAGGAAAGACACAGCAAAGATCATAAAAACCAAAGATGTTCAATCTTTGAATATTCATAAACTGCAGTCCAAAAGATGAAAAGTCATTATCACTCAGTATAACAAATACCACAAAATAAATAGAACTATTCAAAGCCTCGCTTGTTGCAACATAGTTATATAATTTGCTTCCTCCTTCTCAAATCCACAGTATGTTAGACCCTTGTATACTTAGGGTTCTTAAATCAACTAAAATCTAAATGTTATTTTTAAAAATATTTTATTGTGCTTCTCCTAGATTTCCTTTTTTCTAGCTAATTTCTAAACTTCATTGAATATTTTAAAGAATTCTTTTTGAGAAGGATATAGTAGCAAAGGCAAAAAAATTCTAAATATGATAGAAAAGTAATATAATGGATAACTTGCTTTTTAATAACATTAATAGTTCAATTAACCAAATTCAAGAACCAATCCTCAATTGGTTTTAGCTTCAGACATAGAACTATTACACTTCTGAATGAAGAAAAGAAAGGAATGTTGCTGTTTCACAAATTCCCCCGAAGAAACAACTGTTTTTTTTGGAATTTTTTTACATGAATTTTTTGTTTAACTTTTATTTTGAGAGAACTGTAGATTCCTATGTATTTTAAGAAATAACACAAAGAGATAACATATACCCTTTACTCAATCCCCGCAAAGGTAACATCTTACAAAACAGTAGTACAGAATCACAACCAGGAGACTGACATTGATAGTTAAGATAGAGAACAATTCTAGCACCTCAAGGATCCTTCCTGCTATACCATTATAACCACATCCACTTCCCTCCTATTTGCTCCTCATCCTTTATTCCTGTCAATCACTAATTGAGTGTTATCCATTTCTGTATTATTGTCATTTCAAGAACGTTACATAAATGGAATCACACAGAATGCATGCATATATTCCTATATGATCCTTCTGATGTCCTCACGGTCTGTAGTGATCCCTCATTTCATTTCTGATAATTTGTGTCTTTTACCTTTGTCAGTCTTTTCAGTGTTTTGTAGATTTTGTTGATATTTTTAAATAACCAGTTTTTGGATTCATTAATTTTTTTTCAATTGTTGTCCTGTTTTCATTTTCATTGATTTCTGCCTTTATGTTATTGCCTTCCTTCTGCTTGCTTTGGGTTTATTTCGCTCTTTTTAAAAAACAAATTTTTAATGTTTATTTACTTTTGAGAGGGTGTTGGGGGAAGGGTAGAGAGAGAGGGAGACCCAGAATCTGAAGCAGGCTCCAGGCTCTGAACTGGAGTCAGCCCGACGTGGGGCTCAAACTCACGAACCACAGGATCATGACCTGAGCCAAAGTCGGACACTCAACCAACTGAACCACACAGGCACCCCTACTCTTTTTTTTTTCCCCCAAATGCTTGTGATGTCAACTGAGATTAATGAGTGTTCTTCTCTTTTTAAATGTAAATATTTAATGTCATAAATTATCCTCTCAGCACTGTGTTAGCTGTTCCCACAAATTTTGATATGTGATTACTTTCATTTTTTTCAGTTCATTGATTTAAACATTTTTTTAATGTTTTATTATTTATCTGAGAGAGAGAGGAGAGATAGAGCGAGAGGGGGAGGGTCAGAGAAAGAGGGGATACACAGAATCCCAAGCAGGCTCCAGACTCTGAGCTGTCAGCACAGAGCCCAACTCATGAACTGCGAGATCATGACCTGAGCCGAAGTCAGACACTTAACCAACGGACCCACCCAGGCGCCCCTCAGTTGAATGATTTTTAAATTTTCCTTAAGACTTCCTCCTTACACTATGAGTTATTTACAATTGTGTTGTTTAGTTTCCAAGTATTTGGAGATTTTTCTGTTTTCTGTCTTTTATTGATTTTTCAGTTGACTCTACCGTGGTCAGGAAAAAGACTCTGTATGAAAAAATTTAAATGCTTTTAAATCCGTTTAGGCTGTTTAAGGCCCAGGATACAGTCCATCTTTGAGAATGTTTCATGGACACTTGAAAAAAAATATGTATGATGTTGTTGGGTGGAGTGTTATACAAATATCCAAAGACCCTGTTTGGTGATGACAGAGTCGCATTTTCCTATGTTCTTGCTGACTTTTGCCTAGCTTTTCTAACGATTACTGAAAGAGGAGTGCTGAGGTCTCCAACTATCATTGTGTATTTATCTACTTCTTTCGGTTCTGTGTGGACTTCACATATTTTTCGGCTGTAGGCAGTACCTGTGCATTTGCCTTCTTGGTAGGTTCTTACAGCATTGTGTAATGTTCCTGTCTGCCTCTGGTAATTTCTTTACTCTGATAGAGTCGCTCTTACTTTCTTTCAGTGTTTCATAATATATCTTTTTTCAACCTTTCACTTTCAACCTATCTACATCATTCTATGTGATATAAACTGCTCCTAGAAATACCTCATCAGAGAAACATCTCATAGACGTAACCTAACAGCAGATGGTTAGGCCAAGTTTTATATAATCCACTCGGCCAATCTCTTTTAATTGGAGTAATGTTCAAGCCTTTATTGATATGACTTAAGTCTGTAATTTCATGTTTTTTGTTTGTTCTGCTTTATTTTTCCCAACTTGCTGTGGGTTCCTTGAACTATTTTTAGGATCTCGTTTTGAATTATCCCTGGCATTTTTTTTTTAGTATATCTCTATGCATAGTTTTTTTTAGTGGTTGCTCTGGGTATAATAATATACGTACATAATTCATCACAGCCTACTGGCATCAACATTTTACCAGTTTGAAGCACAGAAAACTCATCTCCCTTTTATACCCCTTATCCTCCTTCATTTAAAATACAAATGTCTTAAATATTACCTATAAATACATCTAGAACACAGCAGAGAGCTCTATCATTTTTGCTTCATCCATCAAATATAATCTAGAAAACTCAAAAGGAGGGGCGCCTGGGTGGCTCAGTTGGTTAAGCGTCCAACTTTTGGTTTTGGCTCAGGTCATGATCTCATAGTTTGTGAGTTTGAGCCCCTCATCAGGCTCTCTACTGTCAGCGCAGGGCCTACTTCAGATCCTCTGTTTCCCTCTCTCTCTCTCTCTCTCAAAAATAAACATTTAAAAAAAAAGAGAGAGAAACTTGGGGGCCCTGGGTGGCTCAGTCGGTTAAGCGTCCAACTTCAGCTCAGGTCATAATCTCACAGTTCTTGGATTCGGGCCCAATGTCGGGCTCTGGGCTGACAGCTTGGAGCCTGGAACCTGCTTCAGATTCTGTGTCTCCCTCTCTCTCTGCCCCTCCCCGGCTCATGTCTGTCTGTCTCTCAAAAAAAAAAAACAAATAAAAAAAAATAAACATTAAAAAAAATTTTTAAAAACAGAGAACCCAAAAGAAAAGGGAAGATACATTGTATTTATTCCTAACACCTTCCATTGTTCTTTCTTCATTCCTGATTTTCCAAATTTTCTTCTATTGTCATTTTCTCTCCATTTAAAGGACTTCATTTAGGCTTTCCTTCAGGGTTGGCCTGCTGCAGTCCAAATCTCATTCTTTGCCTCCATTTGAGAATGTCTTGATTTCCCCTGCATTCCTGAAGGATATTTTCATTGCCTATAGAGTTCTGGGTTTTCAGTCTTTTTTTCAGTTGAAAACCAGTGTGCTGCCTCCATCTGGCCTACATGATTTGTGGTCTGAAATCTTGGTCACTCACATTGTTTTTTCCCTCTAAGTGTCATTTCTTTCTCACTGCTTGTGAGATTTTTTTCTGTGTCTCTCATTTTCAGAAGTTGGACTATGGTATATCTTGATTTAGATCTATCTTCGGGTATTCTGTTTAGGGTTTATTCAGCTTCTTGAGTCTCTCTCTCTCTCTTTCTCTCTTTTTATAAGTTTCTTTATTTATTTTTGAGAAAGACAAATAGTGGGGGATGGGCAGAGAGAGATGGAGAGAGAGAATCCCAAGCAGGCTCCGCGCTGACAGCACAGAGCCCGACTCAAGGCTTGAACTCACAAACTCACAAACTTGAAATCACAACCTGAGCTGAAATCAAGAGTCAGACACGTAACCAGCTGGGCCACCCAGGTGCCGCTTGAGTCTTTTTCTTTGTATCTTTTGCCAAACTTGAAAAGTTTCAACTTTTATTTTTTCCAAGGTTTTTTTTTTTTATTTTTCTTTTTTCAGTTCCCCCTCTTTCTCCTATTCCTAGGACTCCAGTGTCACGAACGTTTGATGTTTTGTTATATTTTCACTGGTTCTTAAAGCTTTATTTTCTTTTCCAGTTTGTTTTCTGTTCTTCAGACTGGGTAGGTGATTCTTATTATTCCCTCTTTAGTTCAATGATTCTTTTCTCTGTCTCCTTTCTGCTGTTCAGTGTATCCATTAAAGGTTTCTTTATTTTGGCTATTTTTCATTTCTAAAATTTCCATTTGGTTCTTGTTCCTATGTTTCTTTCTTTGTGAAGACTTTTTTTTTTTTTTTTTTCCATTTGGAAGCTTTATGATGGCTGCTTTAAAAGCCTTGTCAGAGAAACTGAAATCTTCATGAGCTGGAGATCATCCGAGTTGGTATCTAGTGATTGTCTTTTTTCATTCAAGGTTTTCTTGGTTCTTGATACGATGAGTGATTTTTTTTTTTTTTTTTTTTTTAAACTGAAACCTGGGCATTTTGGTACTATGAGACTTCTCGATCTTAAATTTCCGGCTTCTTCTGACAGTAGCTAGCAGGAGAAGAGTTTAACCTGCCCTGTTCCTTGTTACTTCCAGGTGGGAGCGGTAGACCATTTCCCCACTCGGCCTCCACGAGCACTTGAGGAAAGAAGGTCTTGTTCCCACTGGGCAGTTTGGGAGACCAGTTCCCCCTAGACCTGTACCCGCACAACCCCGGCTGGAAAGGGCAAGAGTGCCTTGGTACTTCTCCCTCCCTAGCCTCTCCTGACACTTTGGAAGACGCAAGCCTCATTACCACCCAGCTGGGAAAAGTCTCAGCTCCTCACAGTTCTGGCCGGGGCACCTCATTACAGCCTGATGAGGGTGGCAGGCTAGGCTCCCACTCAGTCTTCGCTGGGTGGGGCAGTCTGGACTGGTGTTTGGCTGACGTAGTACGGTTAGTACCTAAAAGCTTTCAGTTTTGCTAGAGAGATGGTTTTCTTGGTCTTCTGGCTGGACAAAGGCGGCTTTTGTCGGGGCTTTTCCTGTCGGTGCCCATCAGCATTTCTGGGTTGCCAGCTTCTTTAGCTCCAAGTCTGGCATAGATGAGGGGAAAAGAAAATCCAGGGGACTCACCACCATGTTGTTTCTCAAGTCCCAAGTTCCATTGTCAGTCTCCTGTTTTCTATCTTTCAGAGTCTTTGTATGTTGTCTTTTATGTAATTTCCAGGGTGACAGTTGTACTTAGAAGAACAGGGAAAGGCACACGTACTCCATTTTTCTAGAAGCAGGAGCTCCCGATAGCGGTTTAACGAATGGAGTTGATTTGGGGGAGCCTGGTCTTGTTTTCTGCTCCATAAATGCTATTTGTGGCAATAAACAAAATTCCATGTCCCTTCCCTCAAAGAAACTGCATTCTGGTGAGAAAACATAAATTCTTCAATTAGTCCACAAACATTTTCGTTTGGAAATATCTTGATACATAGAGAAAAGGTCAGGGTAATATACTGTAGATAGTGTGCATCCCATCTGGAAGTAGATTCTAGACCAGCTAATTGTTTAGTTCAGGCATGTGCCCTTGATTCTGCTGTACCTAGGCAGATCTGGGTCTGCTGTACCTAGGCAGATCTGATCATAAACAGGTGATCAATCTCTCAGCAAGCCTGGCAGCAGTAGTGACATTTGGTCTTTCAGGAGAGACCAAACAGAAAAGGTCTGACATTGAGTCACAGAAGTGAAGGGTTCTTTTTCACTGGGTGGTGCCAGGTCAGCCAAAGAAGATCCACTTGTGGTTGGATATGGTTTCTTTTTTAATTAATTTTTTAATGTTTACTTATTTTTGAGAGAGAGACAGACAGAGTGCGAGCAGAGAGAGAGGGAGACACAGAATCCGAGGCAGGCTCCAGGCTCTGAGCTGTCAGCACGAAGCCCGACGTGAGGCTCAAACCCACTGTGACCTCGCGACCTGAGTCGAAGTCAGACACTTAACCGACTGAGCCACCCAGGCGCCCCTGGGCACTGTCTCTACATGTAGAACTTCAGAGTGTGGCACACAGGTCTCCTCGAAGAGTCTATGGTACACATGATACCTTTCAATAAATCTCTCATTTGTTTAAACTGAGAAGATCTTTCTTTTCCTTTGGTGAAACTAAGAATTACTAAATCCACTTGGCTAGTTTAAGGAGAACAGGGGGGGAAAAAAAAAACACTTGTAATTTATACTGTAATTTCACGATGTACGGATCCTGAATGAACTAAAGCCCAAAGTAAAAAGGGAAGAATTTCCATTTCATTCTTGTACCTGTTCCTGAGGTGGGGATCGAAATTCCTTTGTCTTCCTGGCAGTGAGCGCGGCCGACATGTTTAAAGCCTGCATAACTTCATTGTAACGGAAGCGCTGATTGTCTTGGAGCTTGGCTACAAAGTCATCTGAAAAGGCCACGATGGCTTCTATCCGGTGTCGGACCTGGCAGTCACAGAGGTACTGGAGCAGCAGACACATCTAAAAAGATGATGAACAAGACATCAGGGGTGAATTCAGGAATCTTAAGTAGTTAATGTGTACCTGTGGCAGACACGCTTAGTATCAACTCTTCTATGAACAGAATTCTGATTCTGTGTAGGCAGCACTGTGCTTGGTCCCAGGGGATAAAACCTACAATTTCTCTAAGCTTAAAAGGGTAAATGCATGCCCCGTTGGTGGACACTTACTGCCCTAGCCTCCTCGGCAGCTACCGGGGCTATGGCAAATGAGATATATAAGGCGAACTCAGTGAGGAGTCTCGTGGGAAAGATTTCACACCAATAATAACAGACTAGAACACTCTCTTTTCAAACTGGGTTTAACTGGGTAATGAGTGACATGATTATTTCACTTTAGGATGAAAACCGCAGACTGAGGAGCACAGGAAAATATTAAGAGCTGGCTTCCTGAGGACATTATTGAGCTCCTATACTAATTCTAGAACTGTGCACCTCCACACTCTGCATGTAAATTAATTAAGTGGTTTCACTGTTCATTCATTAAATGCCGAGTTGGGTATTCTCCAACCGGAAGTCAAAAGGATTTAAGCGTATTTATTTATTTGGAGAGAAAGAGAAAGACGGCACAAGCAAGGTAGGGATGGAGAGAGACGGAGAGAGACAGGGAATCCCAAGCAGGCTCTACGCTGTGTGAAGCCCGACACAGGGCTTGAACACATAAAGTGCAAGATGAAGACCTGAGATGAAACCCAAAGTCAGATGCTTAACCAACTAGTCACCCAGGCACCTCAGCTAAAAGGATTTTTAACTGAGAGAATATGTTGGTAGAAATATGCCTACAAGAGAATGCTCTGCCCATGTTTCGGAAAGCATTTATTTATTTATTTTTTTTTTTTTTTATTTATATATGAAATTTATTGTCAAATTGGTTTCCATACAACACCCAGTGCTCATCCCAAAAGGTGCCCTCCTCAATACCCATCACCCACCCTCTCCTCCCTCCCACCCCCCATCAACCCTTAGTTTGTTCTCAGTTCTCAACAGTCTCTTATGCTTTGGCTCTCTCCCACTCTAA